CTTGAGCAAAATCAACCTTAGGGTTTGCACTGTCAAAATATCTGATTAAAAAGTTATTGAAAAAACAGAGACAATGATATGTTTTAATACAACTGTTCCACAGACGTGGAATTTTACGAGTATAATTAAACTCACCAAGGCAACAGCAAGATAAAGAAAATATAATTGTTGAGGTAACAATCATGGGTAGAAAATACTGGTACAAAAGACTTCAACATGCAAACAAAAATACAACTCAAGTTCGTAACCCAGAAGGATAGTCTTAGGATACGGATAGATTACTTTCTTAGCTTTGTACTGACACACTTCTCTTGCCACCACATCCATACATGCAGCAAAGCATAATAATCAAGAGTTCATAAATCTATTTTCAGATAAATCAAACAGAAACACAACAAGATGTCCAAGATCTGTCACCTAAGCCCCCACCACAACCACCACCGGAAGAAAATAACACAAAATTCGTTTTACATTCAGAAAAAGATCCTTACGACTTCATATCACAAAGATGTACCGCTAAACCTACAAAGTAAGTCTCATGACAGAAGAAAAACCGTAGAAGCAGTATCCACTAGGAATAGGCTTTTTCCAGATGTCTTTCATAATTTGCAGTATTATACTATTTGTGATCGCTATTACATCAAACCCTGTTTTTATTGCACAAATATCCAGCTGTCTTCTAATATTCTAATAATCTTGGATAAATGAAATTATTATCTTCGGATCGGTACGGTGGGCCTAGCACGAATATTTTTCACACGCGCCATCGTATCGATGTTTACTAAATTTGTATTAAAATTTGTGCACCATAAATGGGCCTAAAGCACACCAAAAATCTCATACTAATCCTACTAAATGTGAAAGTTTAGATGGATGGATCGTTGAAAGGTATCACAGCTCAATGGATAACGATGACATTTGCTTTTTTTTGCTACAGATGTAGAACACATGTTCTTACAGACTATGTTAGGCTATGTATGTAGCCTACTAAGTATTTTTTAACTCCGCGCGGACGGAGTCACGGGCAAAAGCTACTCTTAGGAAAAATGACGCTAACGATACGAAGGTGCTTGTCACAAATGTTCGTGCTAGGCTTAATGTACTTACTTTTCCAAGCCTGTATGCCGTCTTATCTGAATTCCTTTCCTAAATACGAATAGTAATTTAAAATGTCCTATTCCAGTACCATAGAATCAACAGGACATCTCATCAAGGGCTGTCTGGGAGGCGGGATACTTGGCATACACGAGGCTTATATGAAATGCGGTCTTTGGTCATCATTATTCATAACAATAGTCTTCGGCTTCTATATCACTTACTGCATACATGTAAGTACATTCCTCAAACGCCTAAATGCAAGATAACTTAAATTTACATTCACGGCAGCCATTTTAGGGTTCCGTACCTCGAAAGGAAAAAAACGGAACCCTTATACAGGTCTTATATAGGCCTGTCTGACAAGACCCTTTTTTGTCAGATAAATTAAATAATTTTGTAAAATACTGTTAGCTAATAATATTACAATAAAAAAGAGAAAAATATTCTAGAGTTTAGCTAGTTTTAATAAAAAAAAATGTGGAGATTGTCAACGGTGAATTCGGGTTCCAATTAAACAGTTTTGGATCGGAACGCAATATAGAGTTAATTGGCTTGTCAATTCTTGAATATACTTCATTTTGGGTGTTTACATTACAAGAGTAGTCGTTTTTTTTTCTAAAGTTATAAACAATTTTCTACAATTGAAATTATTAACTTTATTGAGACCTAAAGTAACTTTTTCCTACAAATAAAAGCACAAAGTCGTCGAGAACTTAACTAAATATTTACCCCTAGATAACTTTGCAGGGGTGAAACGGAATTTCTCACAGAAATAAGTTAAAATAAATGTTGCTATCTCTTATATTATCACCGTACAAGTTAAACTGGGGTGCGCCGGAATTTGGAAAACTTTAACGTTAAACTCATGAAAGTTTTTTTTTATATCAATGTGTACTAGTTTCATGTTTACCTCACTACTCACTACAGGTTCTTTTTCTTTTTATTATATAATCGTCTGAAATTCAAATTGGAAGAGACGCTCTTATTTAATACCACAGAACTTAAAGAAGGCCAAGTGTCATTTCTAAGCTGGGACATATATTTTCGGAGCAACGCGTAGGCATAATGGCACTATGTTCGCTCTTAAACTTGTTTCAGCAAGATTTTCCAATACTTTCAAAACAAAACTCAATATTTTGTTTTTATTACAAGAAATAAAAAATGTCTTCTTATTTTTCAAAAACCTGCCTATCCTGTGTAAGTATTATTCTTAAAGATTTTAAGTAAATCTTCATATTTTTTTACAGATCTTAGTAAAATCAGCGCAGACATTGTACAAAAGGCTACATTTACCAGAAATGTCTTACCCAGACGTTGCCGAGGCGTCTTTAGAAGTTGGACCATTCCCTAGATTAAGAAAATATAGCAAATTTTTCAGGTAAACATGGTCAAAGTTAAAATTTACACGAATTACTTCTTAAGTTAACATCGTGTCAAGCTTTACAAACTCTTTTTTATGGACGAGAGATTAAAATTTCTACTTATCAATAACCAACAATGTATGAACTCATTTCAATCAAAATGGAAAAGACTAGAAGTCACACAAAGATAATTTTATATAACATTATTGCAGGTATGCAGTAGACGCAACTATATGCATAGATTTATTCGGAGCATGTTGCGTATATCAGATAATAATAGCCAAGACAATACAGCAACTGGTTGAAAGCAAAGACGACGTAGCCTGGGAGGATATAGATAGATTAAGGTTATATGTATTGGCTCTCTTACTGCCGATATTACTGCTTTGTATGATAACAACATTGAAATATCTGGCACCATTCACTCTGCTCGCAGACGTGTTTATTAGTAAGTATTAGTAAAAAAAGAAAGCCTGGAACCTTTAAAAATAGTTCGTCTGGTATTGCGGATATCCATTGATGGATACCACAAAAGAAAGTTACATTCGAGTACCAGTCTGTTCCGGTCTTTTACTGCTGGATCTTTATAGCCTGTATTCCAATGGCAAGAGAATGTATGAAACCAAAATACAGTCTTTATAATACGCTATTCGCAGGCACAAATCATCTTAATGGTGACTTTGTATTACCTTAAAAAGAAGGACTAGATATTTACTAGTATTTATGGCTAACTGCCTAGCCGATCCTTATTAAGAAGTCCACTAACCCGGCCTGAGCCAGAGATTGACAATAGCCAATTCACCCTAGGCCAATTGACTTAGGTAGGCTCCGAGCCTCTCAATTGGCACGTAATGTATAAATATTTAAATATCTTAATTATTTTATAGTTGCATGCGTGATAGCGACCGTAGTGTACAGCCTACGCGTTGCTCCGAAAATATCTGAGGTCCCAGCTTGGAAGGACGCCTTGGGCTTCTTCGAGTTCTGTGGCATTGTTGTATTTAGTATGGAAGGAGTGGGAGTGTCTCTACCAATAGAGAACAATATGAGAGATCCTAAGAAATTCCCTAAAGTACTTTGTGCTGGTAAGTTGGCAACACCTATTGAGACATGAACGATAAAGTAAATTGTTGTGCGACGATGTTGTCAAAATTATTATAGCAGATTACTCTTTTAAATAATTCAAACTTTTGTGAGATATTATAATAATATAAAAATGGCTAAACACTCACTCACCGGTGGCGGCACCGACTAGTAACAGTGAGCGATCGACCGCATCCGCGAAATATTCTCTTTCTTCATCAAATCCTTGGATTGAAAAAATACTGTTTTTTATTATGGTGGTTATAAGCTTCGTCTTTTTTATCGCCAATATTATTTTTGTTACAGGTATGAGTGTTGTTGTATCTTTTCTTATAATTGTTGGATTTTTTGGTTATTGGGGATTCGGTGAAAATTCCATATCACCAGTGACTCTCAATTTTCCATCCGCAATGTAAGTAACTCTAATTAAGCTACTTGATTGTGGAGTAGTTGTAGTATGAAATAGTATGAAAAAAAAATATTAAAAACCGATGCCTTGTTGTATTGCACCTAGGATTATAAATCCGGAAAGAATATATTAACTTCGCATGGAGTCGAATATATTTTGATTATTTTTTTAAATACTTTCAATAAATAATTATCTGTTTTTGATTTCAGTTTCCCAACTGTACTCAAATGTCTAATGGCAATAATGATATTCATAACATTCGCCCTAAATTTCTGGGCGCCATTCAATCTCGTTTGGTTCTATTTGTCCAAGAAACACGATCCGAAGAGACACTGGCTGTGGGAAAGGGTGTACAGAGCTGTCTTCATTGTGGCCATCACATCCATTGCTATTGCCTTTCCTAATATTGGAAATTTGATGGGCTTGGTAAGGCTGTTTTCTATATGAACCTCGACTCTCTGCAGAGACTCTCGAATTAGAGTACATACTGTCGCCCGCGACTCCTGCCGGGCGTATAATAAATGTATTCCTCCAGACCGTCTTCTACATCTATGCCAATTTTCATCGGGATTCGTTGAGACGTTCTACGAATACATTCTAGCAAATATCCTTCCATACATTCAAACATTCGCATTTATAATATTAGTAAGATAATCATTTGTTTTTTTGAAGCTTGGAGCGTTCTGCCTGTCAAATATGGGTTTTATATTTCCGGCACTGATTGAACTTCTCGTCATTTGGGAAGTTCCTGGTCTCGGAAGATATAAATGGCGTCTATGGAAGAATGTTTTTGTTATAATTGTCGGAATATTGTTATTTGTTGCTGGCACTTATTCTAACCTCAAAGGCCTTATAGCAAATATATGATATAAAATTAAGTTTTTTTATTAAAAAATTGCACAGAAACGCAAAAATCAAGCGTTAGTTAAATAGAAAAAAAATAATCAACAATTTTTTTTATTTAAAAATAATTTATAATGATATAAAAGTTAAAAAATTACAATCCAAATATACGAAAAACATCGTATACAAAACATCAAAAAATAACATTACAACAACAATCATCAAGAAAACGCAATTGAACATAAATATTTGTATTACACTCAAAATTTAATTATCTCTGATACTCATGTTGCTCTATATCATAGTATATTTATGTCTAATAACATAAATAAAGTAAGAAACCGGTCGTCATACAATTCGATCATTTAAAATATTACCAAACATCAAAAGTTTTTGACGCTTTTCGTATCTTACGCAAAATTTTATGTCTAAGCTAAAATTGTCTGCAATCAGATATCAGACCTTTTGCCAGGGTTAATGGCGATTGTTATTAGCTGGACTGCGCTGACGAAGCTTCCACATATACAGAAGAAGATTCCAACTACAATCATTAAAAGGGATAACCATAATCTCCATCTGAACGGTCCAAGACCCGGTCGCTCCCAGTGTACAAGTAGGTAAATGACATTGGGATAAATAAATGCAAGATTTGACAAACAGAATGCGCCGAGCTGGAAAATTTAAATATGAATTAATAAAAAAAAAAGTCACATTGACTAGAACCCTACTCTGACAAAGAATCATCATCATCATCATCATCAGCTCACTACACGTCACAGAGGGTCACATAGCCTACCCAAGTTAGGGGTGACTAGGCCATAGTCAACCACGCCGGTCCAGTGCGGGTTGACTTCACATATCTTTGAATTTGTTCACAGATATTTTCCTTCAACGTCTGTTAAAAACGTAGAAAATAGAAAAACACATTGGTACATGGCGGGATTCGAACTCAGGACCTACAGATTACAAAGCAAGTGCACCCTTAAGCCACCGACGCTTTGAGAAAGAATGGAAATGGAATAAGTCGAGCCATACACAAGTGAATTTCCATGCAAAAATTACCGACTCTACAAATTTACCTCTAAACATAGTTGTTAATATCTGGGTTTTACTTGCATTCGCAGCTATTTTAATTCTGTTGCATAATTTCACTCACGTTTTTTAAACCTTTCATATTATAAAAAAAAAATATTAGTAGCCTATGTCAGACTGTGTTCTACACGTATGCAAAGTTTCAATGAGATCCATGCAGTCGTTCTGGAGATACCTTCACAAACATCCATTCATCTAAACTTTCGCATTTATTTATAATATTATTAAGATAAAATACTTACAAAACCCATTAAGGCAGTAATAGTAGGAAATATAATCGCTACTAAGCCAATTATAGCAACGAAAATGGCTCTAAAAATAAGCTCCCACATGACATGCTTATTTGGATCCAATTTCCTTTTCATGTAATAGAAGACTGTCGCAAATGGTACCCAATAGTTGAGAGCATGTGTGACATATATCATAACCATGATACAACCTTTTAATGCCTTTCCTAGCCTGCAAAACAGTGATAGAATTTTAATATAACTCTATCCATTTAAATCTACACCTTAGGCCCTTTATACTAGGTGATGTAATATTGTAGCCTTGCGGGTATCGCGTTGCTCGCGCTCCGTACATACAACGTTGAATTATCGTTGCGAAACTTTATTTAGTCAATACTTTCATAGAGGCTAGATGTCAACTGATTTGCTTCACCATCTTTAATATCACAGCTATTTTCGCGAAGATCTTAGAACAGGTTGTGAGCGACTGACGGACAGAAATATCAGCAACACGTGCCTATGTAGAAAGCTCTATTGCTTCGCGACTAAAGATCTCATGTATACAATATTTACGTTATCTTGTTCGGCAGACGCTTCAGAGCGAGACAAATATATAAGAACACAATAAGTTTCCCTCAGAAGCAACTGCCAAGCGTTGCTCATACGATTCCGGCTTATGTCTAAATGAACCTTAAGAATTGTAACGCACGTGTTCAGCGGGAAGTTGACTGTGATCGGTGATTCACACTTGTCCAAGTAGCCGGCATATCCAAAGAAAGAAACACAAAACACGCAACTAATAATAAGTGACATGCCTGAAAAGATAAAACAAGTCAAACGTTTTGTAAACGTAGCTACTGACAAATGATCGAACTACGCTGTTTATCTTTTATTCAAAAAATATTTCAGAATTTTTGATGGTTCACAATTTCTAGTCGTCGGAGCCATTAACCCCTTGCCAGTAGCAAACTCCTTGTCTCGCGCGATGATGGCGCACGCGTTACGTCTTTGGGTGTTGTGTGTGCTAGTATACTTTTAATTAATTGCATTTAACTAATCAGCTCCGACGACCAACTAGTGTGAACGTAGTCGCTAACCGCCTATTACAATACGGGTCCAGCAAAATACTTGGATACGAGGTCTGTGGAGGTGTTACTACTAAGCCATATATAAACCAGCACATACCAACAGATAAAGCGATGTGGTATTTATCCGGATCCTTCATATTATTCTCGATAGGAATAATAACAGCGGCACAGGACATACTGAACACAGCCATACCAATGAATTCAAAAAAGTTATAAAACGACGTATAAGGAACCATTCCCGTTAATGTTGGGTTATTTTCGAAAGCATAGTATACTGCTACTATAATACAAAACACTGAAACATAAAGCATATAAGATGAACTTAAAGCAACGATACAATCACAATAGCACAAGTCGAGTAGAACAGAATAAGCAACGTCACAATTCATATTGTGCTTTACTTGGATGGTCCATGAATTGCGTAAATCTGGCCACTAAGGAGTTACAATTTACAAATTACCTTTCGTATATTCTTTGTGTTGTTTTAAAAATATTTTTCATGCACATTTCTATATTATGGGATGGTAAATAAAAGTATATGTTATATTTAAAACTACAAGCACTAGGAAATGTTTAATACGTACATACAACCATGTTAGCTACAATTGATAGAGGCGCAAGCCACTTCAGATGTCTGATTAAGCAAATAAGTATCACAAATGGCACTATACAGGCCAAGTAGAATCGCAAACCAGGCATTCCTTGAAAACAAAAAAATCAACATTTTACTACTCGAGTTTTTAATTTCGTGTATGAAGCCAGAATTTTCATTTACTCGACAAGATCGGAAGAAGAACAAGAAACGCATCTGCAGTTTCTCTAGTGTTGCGGATGTCCATGGACATTCATGATCACAAAGTTGTTCTCGCAATTGCCCCCTTCTCTTATAAACAAACACTCAAGTAGACAACAGTCCTTAAGAAAGTTTCGCATGACAGACCAGTATTGTTTTAAATATCGGATTGGAAATTGGATTGGGAGCTTTTTACGAAAAGACCACTCACCATTTATGCCTTCCATTGATGTTGTTTGCGTATTTTCTACCAATTGTTTTAAAGATTTTGCTATAATAATCTGATAAGTGGCACAAGAACCAAATAAATCAATGCATATCATAGCGTCTATCATATACCTGAAAATATGCGACTATAAACTATTTAAACTTTCATCATATTTTATCATAAACTAATATATAAAGAACTAAGCACTCACGCATATGTCCGATGTCGGCACCGACAAGTGACGAGCCCAACACTCAGCGAACGACGGGCTGCGTCCGCGATATATTACCAGTCCCACTCAACCTGAGGAATGGGATCGAAACCGGTGCCGACAACGGACAAATACGCGAGCACTTAGCCATTAATGTATAAGTTAAAATGCGAATTGTTACAGATTTATTGATTCGTAATAATTTGATAAACTTCCAACAACTCTGTATTTGGTAGTTATATACCTAAACGTCTTGGCCAATTTGGTGATCGATGGATTTGAATGACACGCACAAGCAGCTTCTCCGACGTCCGGGTATGTCATTACCGGAACTCTAGTCCTTTTATACAATATCTGTGCCGACTTCACTAATATCTGAAAGTTACTTCCAATGTCATTTCCTTGATTATGTATGTATTCTACTTGAAATTATTTATCAGTTTATTCCAAAAAAAATCAAAACGGCACGTAGTGACTTCAATTTCTACCAATAACCGGTCATTTGATATGATCGATAATTGATTGATGATTCGATATATCCTCAGTTTATAACACGCTAGTGGAAATGTTAATATTGCCGTTACGTTGTAAAACCATGGTCAAGTTATGAGAAGGGAAGAATTAAATGTAATAGAGAGAACTTTAAAAATGAATATCTCACACTTCGGTATGGATAGGTTTATAAAGGTATGAATGGATTGAGTGGAAGATGACATGATCTAGAAAGGAGTAGCAACTGAATTGAAAAATAAAAGGGCTATCAGAATGAAGAAAACCTTCGAATCCTAGAGGAATTAGGACATGAAGATGACTCAGTGAATTAACTTGATCTAACATTGTTACCAGTAAATAAAAGAAGCGATACATACAAAGAGGCAATAGAACATATATAATCCGCAGGCTAGGGAGACTGGCACGGCCACCCAAAGTCCTGCAGTCATCCAGGCCACATGCCCACTTAGGATACCACCACCCAATGCACCCTTCACTAAATGGGCTATGGATCCAGTCAACCTATAGTTTGATGAAATTAAATTAAAGTAAATAATTAAAATTTAAATATTCATACTCCGTCGAAACTTTAGTTCAGATATTCCAAAATCTACACATCTCTATCAGCCGTCAAATCTAAATTCTACCACGCCATACTCTTTTTTATAGAATCTTTCGGTCTTCCTACACCTTTGTAGCCTTCTGCATTTAATCTATTACAGTATAATCTCACTAATCCGGAATTATTAAAAACCGGAGGGTACCGGATTATTGGAATGTTCGGGTAACTGAATTATAGTGAAATAGTCATGTAAATTTTAATATTCAAATCTAGTGTCTTGGGTCGCGTTCATTTGACATTTTAAACTATAAACTATTCTCACTTGAAAAAATAAATTTTGTTTAATTAGTAGAGGCGAGGGAGTGGTGGGTAAAGGGTGCCGGATTATTGGACGTGGCGGTCAATAAAGGTGCCAGATTAGTGAGATTATATTGTACTTTCTTGTTTATATACCCATCATCTCTCTGTATAACAGATCCACATCGGTTTATTCTTTTGCTTCTTTTGTCTCCATCACGGACGCGACTTTCAAACTATAAAACGTACTAAATTTATTTTCAAAAGGAATAAAAACGTTTTAATACCCCGATGGTTTAGGCAGTTGTCTGTTCGCTCTAATATCGTAGGCATCTTCTTCTGCCTGTGTTCTCGCAACCAATTTGAATACGCGTCCAGGTTCTGGTCTCGCCTATGTTTATTATTTAATAGATTAAAATAAGAGAAACAAAGAAAATCATGTCTAAGAATCATCTTAGAATGTACCATTGCCAGAGTCAAACACTTTTATCGCTTTCAATATTTCGAACAGGGTTTGATTAGCTGACGAACAGTAATGGATAGGATTAAAAAGATTTTATTGCGCCGTGTTTACATTTTCCCAGTTTTCTCCTTCTTGCTTTAGTTAAAGTTGATGGTTGTTAATAATAAGCAAAGGTTTGCTTACAATGGGCATAGAGAAAATTCTGCAAATTTTCCGACGTTCTTACGGTGAAGGAAAACATCGTGATGCAATCTGCACATATCTGAGAAGTAATTCAAAGATGTGTCAAGGCAACCAACCCGCACTTGGCTAGCGAGGTTGACTATGGCCTAATCATCCTTAACTAAGGGTAGACTCTGAGCCCCTCGGTTTGGACGTATAGTGAGCTGATGATGATGACTATGACAATTTGTTAAGACACCATGAGTATTATATACTCCCCAAGCTAAGATAAAAATCAGTTTTAATATCTACAAACTGATGCTAATTTTACTTACCATTTTATTTTATTTATACACCATTTAAACAAAACAAATCATATCAAAAATATCTTCCGAAACAAATTAATGGTAACATGTAAAAATCTGATTGACTTCTGTCTTTCTTCTTTATAATTTTTTGTTCTTACTTCTGTCTAATTCTTTTTAAAAAGTTTTTATAGCTGTATAAAAAATTTAAACTTATTTTTGAGGCGATCATTTCTTTTTTTGATATCGCAAGATTTTACGTTTAGGTCTGCGTCCGGTGTCGGTGAAAACATTACTAATATTTTAAATGCAATGTTTAAATGGATAGATGGATGTTTGGTATCTCCAGAACAGCTGCATCTTGCTGAAAGATGGTATAGATGTAAAACATGGTCTGGAAGAACACATAAGCTGCTAACCATTTTTTTAAGTTCGCGCGAACAGAGTCGCGGCTGCGGCATCACCTAATACTTCTATAAAAGTGTTTCTGAATAGCATATAGGAAGAAAATTAATAAAGTAAAGTAAAAATGGATAGAGATAGAGTTGAAATAAAGAAGCACAAACATTGTAAGAATCTTTACTTTTTATAACTCTGCGAGTTCATGAAGTAATCTTAGTCGGTCAAATAAAAGCTTTTATTTATTTTTTCTTTTTCATATTTGTTAAAAAAAAACTCTGCTACCATGTTAAAACACACTTTTCTTGTTGTTTAATCATCTTTATTTTCTTACACACACGCCATGACATCTTTTCAAACAGCGAACACAGTTACACAAAGTTGCCAGTACTAATCATACATAAATGTACCATAAACCTAACAATATTATAAGGTGGCAAACGAGCAAGCGGAGACCTGATTTCCGCAATTACAGATGCGTTGCATCTTTAGTCGACGAAGGAACGAACCAAAAGAAAGACATATGTGCCTATTCTTCCAGCTCAAATATTTTAATGTGCGTTTCCAGCGACGTCATTCATCACCAGCTATACGTTCCCACTGAGGGGTTTGTAGTCTACCCTAACAGTGGTGACTAGGACATAATCAACCATGCGGGCCAAGTGCGGGTTGACTTCACACATATATGTGCAGGCATCATGTTTTCCTTCATCGTAAGAACGTCGGATAACGTACATATATAAATCGTTCATCGAAAAACACATTGGTACATATCGTCATACTCGTATTAAACATGTTACAATACAAGGATCACAAGAGTGAAATTTCACGGGTAAAAATCAAGGAAAATGCCTGTTTTTACGACTGGTTTAGTATGTAGATATACCGTTACAAGTAACAAGAATCCATACTTGGTTACCTTGTCAGATTACCAGAAAACGAAGGTGTATAATCAATTTAAGCATGAAAAATAATCAAATGTAAATAATAAAGGGCAATAAGGATTGTATACGGATGCCGTTGAAGATTTAGTGGTGCAAATTGATTTTACGGTCTAAAAGTAATAATCATCTTATTAACTGAGAATTTTACTTAGTACTGATATAAACGTTATATCGTACGCATTAATAATCAATATATATAATTGAAATTGCAATAATGATGTGCAAAAATCATTTCATAATATTTGGATTACTGTTAACGATTACTTATTTAACACCAATACGATCTGTAAGTAATTTTAACTTATATAACTTATGTTTGAAAAATAGTAGTTCATACTGTGCCAACCCTCCGTAAGGAAAAGAGCTGATGAATTTAAATCTAAAGATTCTGAAGTCTATCTTACTAATATTATTAACTAGCTGTCGCCCGCGACTCCGTCCGCGTGGATATATAAAAAAACTTAATTAGTGTAGCCTATGTGTTCCTTTCATATTATGTTCTTTACGTATGCCAAATTTAATCGAGATCAGTTCAGCTGTTATAGAGATATCTTCAAACACCCATCCATCTATTCACATCACATCCATCTAAACATTCGCATAAAAATCAGCTCTTCGAGGCAAATTCGAAACAAATGAATAAATATCCTATGTTCGTCTCCTGGATGTAAGCTACCTCGTCACCAATTTTCAGCCATATCGGTAAAGCCGTTCTTGAGTTATAAACAGTGTGACTAACACGACTTTCTTTTATATATAAGATGTGAATGTTTGGATGGATCTTTGTTAGAAGGTGTCTCCATAACCAACTTAGATCTCGCTGAAATTTGGCATGGTAGATCGTAGTCTATACCTAGTAGTCCAAGAACAAATTATAGTTAAGTTTTTTTAATCCCGCACGGACCGAGCCGCTGGAAGCTAGTTAATCAATGACGCCATGTTACAGGAATCGGATCAAGAAGATAACGTAGAAAATATAGAAGAGAAATCTGACGTTAACCCTTTAGAATCTAAGAAAGGTGATGAGTTACTTGAAGATAAAAATGATGAAACCATTACCGAAGTTACAGAATCACGTGTTGAACGTTCTTCAGAAGATGCATCAGATCGTATTCCAACAGCTGAAATAAAAACAGCAAATGAAGATCAACTAGAAACTAACTTAGATGAAAGCTCACGCAGATCAGTTGACGAGTCAAATAGTAAATCTGATTTTAAAGATAGTGAGAAGTCAGATTTAAATTTGAATACAGAAGATGCTAGTGAAAGATCTTTAACAAATGAAGATGAATTGGATGAATATTTAATTGATGATATGGAAAAAACTGGACAAGAAGATGAGCTAGCTGATAAAAATGACGCAGAAATTAAAGAGATCCAAGGGAAGAGTGCAGACAATGTACCAATAGATAACAGTCGTTCTCTTTCACATGAGGCCCAAGATACGATATTGGATCATAAAGCAAGAACAGCTCAAATTGATGATGAACCTTCAGCAGATTCCAGTCTCAACGTTAACGACGACATAAAAGTTTTGGGTATTCAATAACAATTTTTAATTTAAATAAACATTTTATCATATATAAAGATTTATATACTTAAGCTCTTATACCTTTTTATATCTATATATGAAAGATAGTCGTGTTAGTTACACTATTTATAACTCAAGAACGGCTTTACCGATATGGTTGAAAATTGTTGAGGAGGTAGCTTAGAGCCAGGAGACGGACATAGGATACTATTTTTTTTTCGAATTTATGTCTTGAAGAGCTGCTTTTTGTTTGACTTATTTATGTATTAAGTTTTTTTATATATCCACGCGGACAGAGTCGCGGGCGACAGCTCGTTTTAAATATACGTCAGGATAAAACTTAACCATTTTGCCAGGTAGCAAGACTTTATTTTACAAACATAACATTATTTCGGATATATTCTAGAAAAAATTCTATTAGAGTGAGTGTTAGTTCCTATTTCATACCAATATCTTGGAACCTTTTGATTGAATTACTAAAAACGATTCTGAATGTGTCAGTATGTTTTTGCAAGTGTTTTGGAAACGACTCACGTTATGGTTGGTGTTTCGATGTAAAAATTTTAAAATAAATTTTTGTTTCAGGTAGTCGTAGAAGCTTTTCCGGCGACCCAAGCTCAGACGGTCTTGTCAATTTAGGTCGAACTGGAAACATTTTTAACGACAATCTGTTACCTAATAATGTAAATCCTTTACAGTTTACAAAAATAGCATCATCAGAAACGATTATGCCAAACGGATTTTACAATCCTCCGCCAATGCCTATAAAATTTAACGATTTCGCGTCTCAAAATAAGCCGCAAAAACCTTACGATCCTTTTACGTCATCCGAATCCAAACCGTTCGATGAATTTAATTTCAATCCATTTTCCAATTCATATCCATACGCCTATAATCCAAAACCAATAGCTACAACCACTCCAAAACCTATTGAAGTCAATAATTTTCGTAAAAACCCTTCTGATTTCTTCCCTAAATTTCCTCCACCACCTAGCATCAACGCGAATCCTAAAGTTAATATCCTTGGAGACAATTTTCAGCCTTTTTATCCAGGCACTATAAGACCTTTGGAAGCAAGGTTATCATTTCCTAGGTTTGGTGTACCGAGATTAAATCAATTTCCTAATATACCTTACTTTTATCGTCCAAAATGCTCTACGTGTGCCTAATAAAGAATCTGTAATTTTTTTCATTTGTGAAATATAATCATAGAGTTTTATCTCGATACCTTTGTGCAGTTACATTTATATTTGTTTAAAATAACAATATAACTATGAAATAAATATATCACTAACCTTAATAAACACTCCTGCGTCCTCAGGAATCACATATCACCAGCACTTTTCATTTTACTTACACGCACTTAAATTGTTTGAAGGTTTTACATTTTCACATTGTTTTTAACTACAAAATTAATCCCGAAACTGGATTAGATCGTGAAATAATCGCGATGAAATTCACAAAAGATCACTTTTACCACAGCCATAAACCACAAAGTTTGATTTCACAACAAACTACTGTGATATTCCTTACCTACCCTTTCTTTTTAATTTTGAAAATCAAACTATAATAAGCTTGCCTGGTCGTAAGTGTATTGCAACAAATTGGGTAAAAAATTAGATGTATATATAATGTGATACAAGAACATATCTCAATTTAAAAAATAAAAAAGGAAAAATTTATATTAAATAATTAACAAAAGTTATTATTGGATTTTCTATTGGAAATAAAATTAACAAAGTTTTTAGCACTGTTGTAAAATGTGAATGGCAACATTAATCTACGTCAATATCAACATATAAATTGTCAACAATTTTATTTTTATTGCCTTGCTGTATTATTTGTTTATCACAAATATTAATAAAAATTGTACACATTTATATCAATGAATTTATGTTTTAATGATCTGTTCATTTATGCTTTAAAAAAATTAGAATTCAGTAACATGCATCTGTAAAACCTCGCGTTCTTGAAAGAAAAACTTATTTATAATAGTGTAAGTTTGTACTATCTCCTAATTATTTTTGTAATGCCTATAAATTCATCAGTAACAACTTAATATAAATGTTAAATAGTGGACTTAGTTTTACCATACTGTAATTTATTAAACTGTAAAATAATCCTAAAATATTCCTAGGTATAATATATATGTTGATTTATATTCTACCAGCCTTTGCCCACAACGTCCGCGCGAAATTTAAAAACAATTTTAAAAAAAATATAGCCTATATTACTCAGTGATAATGTAGCTTTCTAACATCAAAAGATTTTTGAATTCCCTTCAATAGTGTTTGAATTTTTTATGTATTTTTGTACAAATCATTTCTCTTTATAATATTAGTGTAGACAACTGTTTAATTTGTGTTTCAGTGTTATGGGTAAGAGATATTATTGTGATTACTGTGACAAAAATATGGTTGCTACTCCTGCAATCATCCGAACACATCTTAAAGGCGCAGTTCATCAGAAATTGGTCAATGAACATTATCAACAATATAAAGGTAATTCAAATTAGTTTTAGCTTCCCATAATTTATAATTAATAAACATCATTTTAATTACAATTTAACTAGAAATTATACTCTTATGTCCAAGAATCTTAATCTTATTAATATTATAATGTTTGGATGGATGGATGTTTGAAGATTTCTCCAAAACAGCTGACGGGATAGTAATTGTATTGGGCATCCATGTAGAACTGGAAGAACACATAGGCTACTAATTGTGTTTTTATTTATTCCGGGTGGATGGAGTCACAGGCGCCAGCTAGAACTAACAATACAAACCAAACTGTATTCCATAACTTGTTACCACTAGGTAGACTTATCTAGCTTAGTAAAGGGGCATTTAGTTTGGCACTGATGTCTGTACTACTATAATTAAACATTATGTTGCTACAATTGGCATATGACTAACTGTCGCCTGTGACTCCATCCAAGAAAACTTAATTAGAATCATATGTGTTCTTCCATCTATGCCAAAATCCATGCTGCCGTTCTAGAGATGCCTTTAAACAAACATCTATCTATTCGAGAATCTAAACATTCAAATTTATAATATTAGTAAGATTACTTTCTATCTCTTGGCATACACTATTAATGTTTTAAATCTTCCAGATGCAACTACAATTTTAAAAGAGGAGGGTACTAAGAAGCCTTGCTTGAGGTTTTTGAAGGGGGAATGTAATTTTGGTGGGATCTGTCGCTTTTCCCATTATACTAAGGAACAAATAGAAGCACTAAGGGAATATGGTACGTATGTTATACAAGTAATAGTAATAATAGCAATAAAATATTGCAGTCCCTTAGACTCTTGCTTATCCAGGTTTGATAACAGTTATATGTAATAAATGTTAGATACTGCCATTATCTTATTGACTCTGTCTGCACGGTATTAAAAAATATATATTAAGAAGATATTGTGTTCCGGAGGCCTAATTTAGTCCTCTTTCCCTTCACATCCTTTTGTTTATAAGGGAAGGATGGGAAGTGGAAGTGGACTTTCGGGATGAGAGGATGCACGGGAAGGGAAAATATTTACTCTCTGTGCATCCTCTCCTCCGTCGATTAAAGGTAGGCAACGCATATGCAATTGCGTATGTCTATGGGCAACGGTCACTTCGCTATTTCAGCGATTTCAGGTGGCCGCTCGCATGTTTGCCACCTTATGTTATTAAAAAAAAAAGAAAAAAGTAGCATATGTGTTCTTCCAGACAATGTTCTACATCTATGCCAATTTTCATCAAAATCTGTTAAGCTGTTCCGGAGATACATTCAAACAAAAAAAATCCATCCATCTTAATATTCGCATTTATAATATTAAGTACCATAGTACGTTAACTTTCTAATCTTTTGTCTACCAATCAAGTTATGACTGATTCCATTTCAGTTGCTGTAAATGAACAAAGAAAGGTTGAACAGAACCAGCCTTCATTCACGGAGTTATATCAGAGGTTACAAAGCGAGAAAACTACAAAGACTACCTCAACAGAGACCACAGTATATGATAATAATGGTGTAACTCATACATTTCCATGGATATATAATGAATCTTTTGATATATATGGAGTTAATTTACCACCAAGTCTTAGAAGATTTAAAGTTGAAGATTTTACTAATGTCAACTTAACTGAATGGGGCTGAGGGCTTTAAGGTATATTGAAAATATCATTTTTTTATCTGTACTGTTACTATTGTTAAAAAATTTTTGATAAACAACTAAAAAAAATTTTTTTTCATCTCATATTCAAAAAAACATAGTTTTTTGCTTTTGTTGTAAACTATAGTTTAAATTTGAATATTTTGGCAGAGTATTTTGTTCCAGAATGTCCTTTACATGCAAACAAAAAATATAAAAAAATTGAAGTTGATTCCTTCTAGAATTTTTTTTTTATATTTTTTAGGAAATAAATGTCTTCACAACAATTGTCATCTGCGACAAGAAAAAAAATCTAAATATTTATAGTTGAGTGAATGACAATTTGAAAAAGATGAATTTTGCCAAATGGAAATTTCTTCGTAGATGAAAAAAATTGCTTTATCAATCGAGTTAATTTTAATAGAAAATATCATCTATTATAGTTTTCTCAATTTTATTCGCTTCGGTGTTCTTTGTAATGCCGCTGCGATGTTCTTTGCTGGAACGATTAATGTTGGATAATTTATAAACCTAAATTCCTCAGGAACTTCGTATCTGATATTGTCGATCTGTAATTATTAAAAAAAAACATGAAAAAAAACGTTTGTGAAGTTTTTTTATTAAAATAAAATAAATTCTAGACATACGCTTCTCGAATTTACTGATTTTGTAGAGTAAGAGATGAGAAAGTGAATGGAAATTTCTTTGGATAAAAAATATTTTGCTATTTACAGTGAGTGGGAAATGGACGAAAAGTTTTATGGATATGGAATTATTTTTCATTAAATTTTTTACCTCAATAAACAATGTTGCAATTATTAAAAACCAAATTTGATTTTTCATTATTTTTTTCTCACATTTGACAAAAAAAAACCAAAACTACATATCTATAGAACAAAACAAATCAACTGAAACATATTCCAATCCGAATTCAATAAAATTTCAAAAGAGTACATAAACTTTGCGATTATGGTAGTAAGAAATCACATGAAAATAAACATAATAACAGAAAACAATTTTCAATTTGACGTGGAAAAAAATTTCAAATTGTCGTCTACATATTTTTTGTCCTACTGACGGTTAGTTATATTTTTTTTGCGTCATTAAATGCACTTCAAATGAATGTCTATTCCATAATCTTTTTAGGCTAAAATGCATTACCGATTTTAGAGTGTGAGGTGTCATACGATTAAATTAGAAGACTGCTTAGTTAAGAATTTCAAAACATCCAAAAACACATGAAATTGTAAATACATTCATTCGATTTATCAGCGTTACACTCAATGCACTCAATTAAAATGCTTTAAATAGGGTTGACACAACTTCGATTACTATGTATAATATTTTATTTGGTTTAGATTAGGTTTTATAAGGTTCAAATTCGACCATTGAGGTCTTGTGTTTAGCTGCGACCCCGTGGCTTTTGCCTACGCAGGTGGGTCCCTAAATTGGGAAAAGTTCCCACCGCATGCCTTTACCCGTAGTTAGCTAAAATTGGGTCCTTCGCGAAGTTGTAAACCTCTATAAAGTTTCGATGGAATGAAAAGTGATGATCATGTTATATGGCTAGAGAGCCTAAACTGGTGATCGTAGAACATAAGAAGTAGCAACCCTAGATTCAGACACGTGTAAAGCGCGGATTTCAATATTTACTAGCATGATTCTTGTTTTACACTGGACTGACAAATAATTCTACGAAATGAATTTCTATGCACTTTCACTTCTTGCTATTGTAAGTTTCGTTTTCAAGTTTAATTTATTTTTATCTAATAAACCTTTTTAGATGGTCCAAAGGTACGCAATCGCTAAAATGCTTTACTAGAACGTACATCCCTAAATTAGCCACTGGCCATTTCCCGGGGCATGATAAGGGATGATGGCTCCAAAAACCTGACTTTTAGGGGACCTTCAAGTCCCCATTTTTACGTGGATCGATTTCCGACGGATGGTAGTGCGCGCCAGGGTCATTCGACTTTTCAGCGTGGTCACTCTTGCTTTTTATCATTACGGTTTCTCAAAAGGAATCTACTGTATTCCAATTCGAGATCTCGGCAAAACAAATCCCGCCCAACGTGACTTCTGTTATAGATGGAGCGTAGAAAAGAGGTCTTAAATTTAAATTCCGTGTAGGATTTCTTCAGTGGACACAATAGTTACTTTTAAACTTTGTTGTAGATACATTTTCTACCAATTAATGGAGATAATTACATCGAACTGTTGAATAATGACTACGTAGAACAAAACGTAGCTAATATGAATCAGGAAAGAAGAAATTTTCTAAATAATTTTAATATATATGTATACAAACGTCCAATACTTGTTAGAAAAAGTTTGGGCAATAACATTCCAGGACTTGATATGACTGAAAGCGAATTGAATAGAGTCATAAGAGGTCATAAACTGGAGGACTATCTCAGTAAAGATGAGATTCACGAAATCAAAGTGAAGGAAATTTGTAATTTCATCAAATCCCATTACTTGTCGGCAGATTATTTTTTTAATGAAATGCGAAGGATAATTAATCAGCGCGAAATAAAAGATGATTTGAGGAACATGGTGACATTCTTCGAAGAGAATCCCGATTTAAAACCAAAAATACTTGAAGCCTTTCGCAGAATACAACTGTTGAAGAGAAAGATACCAGATATTTGGTCGCTGCAAACTAACAATCTTGTTGCATCATTAGACGCTTCCAGATATAACTAAGTGTATGATTAACTATCTTTAATATACTACATTTTGTATATTCATTGAATAACATCGTACCCAATTAAAACACAAATTATTCACCGATATTATAATTGTTAAAATCATTTCCCTTGTTCCTTATTGACTACGTAGAGTAGTCGCGGTGAAAATTGTTGCAGCACGGATATCAATCGGTATAATTTGGATCCAGGAGCCACTTTCGCTTTAACTATGCCCTGTAATTAGAAAAAAAATGCATATTCGACGTCATTGTCCAGTATAATGAAAATCTCGATTGTGAAGCCTTGTCTCTAACTCTGAGGACTAGTTACTTCTTACATTTTATAAAAAAAATATAAAAAAAAAAACTTACAATGCCAGGAACTGGTTTAATTTTGGACTTATCTATAGATCTTAATACGTTATTAGTAGGTGTTTCAACGTCTTCCTTCCAAACGCCGTCCCAATACTCCTGAAAAAAAATTACCGTTTTTGAAAAAAAAAAAATTTTTTTTGTAAAATGTTAGATAAACTGCCATTATTTTTGTAGACTTAACGATGTGGTTGTACATCAACAAATCTTTAAAAATAAAAAAAGCACTTACCCCAGTCCTTACGATTGATCTTTTGGCCAATTCTTCCATAGGATCTACTACAGTATTTGCTTGACGTGTTGCGGACAATTTCGCCAACGCCATCACTAATTCTGGAGGTGCCTGATGGACACGGAAATAATTAATTTTATATCATAATCTATACAATGAAAGAAAGTCATAATATAGTCACAATAGACAAAAAATAATAATTGAAATCATGAAGTTGTCGAGTTGTCTGCATCTTAATAATAATAAAATAGACAAAGTTTACCTTCATGGGTGTTAAGCTGTCATTTTCCGAAATTGATTTTTTTCTATTTCCATCCTGTAAAGGTTTAAAAAATGAAAAAGTAGCTGTTGCCCGCGACTCCGTCTGCGCGGAACTAAAAATATCAAATTTCATCGAGATCCATTGAGCCGTTCTGGAGCTAAACATTCGCCTTTATAATATTTGTAATATAGACAAAATAAGGACAAAAAAGTGGATTACAAATACATTCCTTTTTTCTTTTCCAGGAATAAAGGGGGGGGGGGAATATTATTCCTCGTCGGATAAAGCAACAGTATGCTGATATTTGACAACAAAATAATATATTAAGACATTAAGTCCGTTCAAAATACATGTATACTCACATCACTAAAGAATAACAAACGTCTACCGAAGTCGTCATAAGTTCCCGATTGTCGGAAATGAACATTAGAACCCATCAAATCTGTTGGATCTCCAGCCATGCTCTCAATCAAGTACTGATCATTTTGTTCCTTTGGAATACAAACAATCCTAACTATAAACTATTAAGTTACTTATTATACAAATAATTTACAATGAACATAGTACATAAGCGAGACACATTGTCCGGTCGCCATGGGACCTTCATAAACGAGAAACTTGGATTAGAGAGTATCCTCTATAAGCGAGAAAAATATCTGCGCCCATTGGACTCTCGTTTATCCGACTTCAAGAGAATATACATATAAAACGTCTGTCTCCCATATGGATTTTAAGGGCCAAAACACCGTTACCGTTATATACCGTTTTGAGAATGTCGCAAGTTTTTAATAAATATATAGAGGTATATTTTGTTTCACCTTTATTGCTTCAAAACTTTCTGCGTTACTATTAAAACGTTGCGGTGCATCTTCATATCTTTGTATATCTTCGTATCCCGATGATAACTACAAAATATTGGTTTAAAATAAACAAAACTCAATAAAATATTAATATAAAGAAGAAATGTGAGCTAATAGCCCTTTTAGATTATATTAGAACAGAAACAGGCAAAATGTTGTAGTTATTGTGAGAAGTAAGAAATTTCTCTGATGCCAATATTACGGATGATTTTCTTACCACTCGATTCTGTAAAACAACAAAATATATAAATAAAGCGAGAATGTATTTCATAATGTTAACGTTCGTTATTCCTCAATGCAAGTTAATATAAGTTGTGTTTTATGTCAAATTAATAATTAATTTTTACGATAACGACAATTCTATGTTCATTCAATTATTGTTATCTTTATTTATAACAACTCTACCACCACACATTTGCGGTTTATCAATCCCATCAAAAAAAATATAGAAATAAAATATTTTAAACACGGCAAAAATTGCATCTGGTACAACTGTAATTTAAAAAAATACTAATATTAAAGCATTGTTTCAGTTCGATTTTGCGTTTTATATAATTTTGTTCCCTATTTGCCCTTGTTCGTGAAAGTGTTTTAAAATGGGGTCCCATTTGAAAACAAATAACAAGAACATGGAAAAAATAAAGATCATTTTTTTACTTGCATAGCAATACACACCAATAACATGGCAACAATTTTATAATTTGACTTATTCTAATTGGAAGGAAATTGACAATTGTGAAAAGTCAGCTGAACAGTGCTTTGTTATTTATTTATTCTGGAAATTAGTTTCTTTAGGAGATTTACGTTAAATGTTTCAGAATTTGATATCAACCAAAATTATCTTACATCTTAACGGGATGTAGTAATCTATATTATGTTTAGGTGCTTAAAATTTTAAAATGATGTTTGGAAGACCGAGATGTAGAGAATGGACCCCACTGGCTACTCAACAGCTTCGTTTAAGGAGCCTAATTCAGGTATATTTTAATCAAGTTTAAATAGAAGAGAAAAAGTACCTAAATTTAATACCTTGACTTACGTACGACTTACTCACGAGTCTTAGGTAGTTTATCAACAAACGCCTACACTTTATAATAGGTGGGTGTCATATCAGATACGTAATGTTTTCATTTATACTTCTTAACAAGGAGAAATAGCTATTATTTCCAAATATCTCAAGAATACATCTTATTCCTTTAGATCTACCTGAATAATAGACATAAATATAATTTTTTAATTTTTGACAGAGTATAGACAAATTTAACTTGAAAAACTGATTTTAAAAAGTGAGTTGTCATTTGTTCTGTACTTTATATAAAATCTTTAAAAAAAAGCAATTGCTTGTATGAAACTGTCAGAATAATAAGTATTCAATAATAATTTGAACCATCCATTGAAAATAAATATAACTGAGATGCAACTCTTCATTCTTAAAAGTCCAGGCAAAACAACCTTAAATTTGCCTTTAATTATGTAGTTTCGGCACAATATGTACACCTCTTTTATACATCTGTATCAGCTGTCATATGACTTGCTTTCATACATTCCATTTAAACAACCTTTACCTCATCCACCTTCACCAATCACATCCAATTGTATGACTTTTATTTTATTTTAATTATATTTTAATTATTTCTCTATAATACAGATTGTGGGGTACAATATACGTCCTCCGGAATGGTGTACACATCAATGCAGCTACTATCTGACACTTCATCACACAACTATGTCAGCTCCTTTTTACACCAGTGAGAGGATATCATCACCACATCCTAAATGGAAGGAGATTGATCCAGGTAATTTAAAAAAATTACAGTTTAACAAGCTAGGAGAGTGATTTATTAATTTTAGACACTATTAATTAGAATTTTATGGCATGAATAATGTGCTTTTGTTACAAAGTCCATTGTCAGAATGAATAGTGAGGGGCATAAACATCAACATTTTAGTGTGGCTAGTGTTCAGTGAATACACTGGCTCATTTTCAGATTTTCTTCCTAAAATTTTGTATGAAATAGTCTTACTTTTTTTAATTCTCCGCAAAATATGCATCTTTTACTTCATTTTATTGTTAATAATATTCTAGCTGTAGCCAGTGACTTTGTCTGTGCTGGATTAAAAATATTTAGTAATAAATATAATCTATGTTACCCGGAGATAATGTAGCCTCAAGAGGGTTTTTTTTTAATTGATTCAGCAGCTACCGAGCATATTCAAATGGAATGGAAACAAAAAAAAACAATGAAATCTTTTCTCTTTATAATATTAGTATAGATAATATATTGAATCTTAGTTCTTACTTCTGATGTTTATGTAAATCCAAATGTTTATATAAACGGATGAATGGACCTTGATGCGATTTGGCATACATACAGAACATAGTCTAACACATAGGCCACTAATTAAGTTTAATTCAGCGCGGGCGGTGTCGCGTGCAACAGCTAGTTATAAATTATATTATAAATGAGAATGTTTAGATAGATGGATGGATGTTTGAAGGTATCTCCATAACAACTGCATGTATCTCGCTGAAATTTGGCATAGATGTAAACACAATCTGGAAGAACACATAGGTTACTAATTAAGTTTGCAAATAAAACTTAACAGACTATATTTTTGGCACATTGAAGAGATAATATTAAGATTGAGAGGGTTTGATTGTAAGAGTCCTTTTGACTTACAAATTTTGCTTGACTTTTACCGTTAAATTATTTAAAGTAAATATTTAAATTATAGTAACAACATTGTTGTTATCTTTTTTTAATAATTGACCTTACAAAATTATTTACATATACCATTGCAAGTTGATAATATAGTTATGTTTAGAAGATAATTTTTTTTTCACCTTACGAACCAGTTATAAGATTAATAAACGGTGGTGTTGATGGAAAATTATACAATACTAGCTGTCGTCTGCACGTAATTAAAAACAAAAGTTAATTTGTAGCCTATACGTTCTTCCTGACTGTTCTACATCTCTGACAAATTTAACCGACATCCGTTAATTCATTTTGAAGATAGCTTCGAATAATCCATCCCAATACCTATAATATTAGTAAGATTGTTATTTTTAGAAGATAAAATTGTTTTTATATCTTACGAACCAGTTATAAGATTATTATTCGGTGGGTGACTGGTTTTAAAATTATATAATATGATAATATATAAAATCTGCATCCAATACTGAAGCAAACTTGTTTTTAATACAGTTATAAATTGATAATATTAAGTGAAGATATGGAATCCTCCAATGCTTGTTATTTATTTATAGAAGAATAAATTAAAAAAATAATAAAAAGTGGTTTTATGAAATTAATTTTTAGACTAGACGCCCACGAATCCGTACGGAATTGAAAAAAAAAATGGCAGCCTATGTGTTCTTCCAGACTATGTCTCTGACAAATTTCAGCAAAATCCATGCAGCTGTTCTGAAGTTACTTTCTTACAAACATGTATCCATCTATCCAAACATTCGCATCTTACTAATATTATAAATGCGAATGTTTGGATGGATGGATAGATGTTTGTTAGAAGGTGTCTTTAGAACGGTTGCATGGATCTCGCTGAAATTTGGCACATATATAGAACATAGTCTGGAGGAATGCATAGGCTACTATTTAAGTTTTTTTTTAATCCATTCCGAGTCGCGGAAATCAGCTAGTTATATTAGTAAGATAGTTATTTTCCAAAGATCTTTGTTTATCTTTGTATATACGTCATTATCGTTTGACCGAAATATTTATTACATCATTCTGTTTTGAATTCAACTTTATATTATTGCTTACGAATCATCAGACCTATACTTCGACCCCCAGTAGCAATGTTTAATTTGATAGATTATGCTTCAATATGCTTGTACAGTGTGCAAAAAAATGTATGATATTTTTTAAACTAGATTAGCTGCCACAGTTTTGTACCCTCGAGTATGAGGGCCTGCAGGCATCTGCTGCTATCGGTGATGCATCCTTGGTGACCGTTAGGTTTTCGTGCTTCTACGATATGTTATAATTTGATTAAAATAGTTAAATACTTATCATTATAGGTACATTAATGATCCAAATGTAGCTTATTCGTAACTTTATGTACGATATAGATATAATTTAGAAATTTAAGAATAACTTAAATAAATTTAATTATTAACTGCCACATTCTATGAGGCTTATATTAGACCCTAGTTTCTACACTTAAATATACAACAAAGGTTCTCGCAATAAAAATTCTCTGTCGAATAAGGCTCAAGGTTAACGACCCATGGTTTCTGAGAGCATGATTCTCTCTTTAAACATATTATCTCTGTTTTGTCAAAGATAATGACAGAAATGACGGTATACAGATATTTTGAACTCAGAAACCAACAATATATTGTTTAGTTTAACCGTAGTTTATGTGAACAACTAGTAATATTTTAATTTTCTCGTATATCTTTCGTCTTTCAGAAATAACTCAACGCATGTCGTCTAGTAACGTTGTCATCCGAATATGGTGCCACATTCTCTTGCCAAGTAATAGCGATGAAAAGTCTGACAATCTCCAAGACACGGTCATTCAAACTTGGGGTGTATATTTTACTGGTCTCAGATATATAGGAGCGAATCTAGCTTTAAATTTCACATCAGATTGCTTCAAAAGTAACACCCTGGTATTTCAAATGCAAGGTGGTTACTTCTGTTCTTACAAAAGTTTAAAATTGGATGTTATACCACCAGAGAACGAAGTAGAACACGGTTCACTATCATCAGATTCGTCAGGCAAAACTAATCCATATAAAAATGTAATCGAACCGAAATTTATACAGAATCATAGATTAATTAAAGAATCTAGATCAATTTCACCTAGTAGATACAATAAAGTTAGTGATAAAGAGTATTCAAAAAGTCATAGCCCCGTCGATAGAGGTTTTAAGCAGAATTTTCCGACAATAAAAACATCAGCCAGTTTAAACACATCAATAAATTTAGATTGTTCTAGAATTAGAGATAATAGTATTGAAAGGAAACGTAACGAACAAATCCAAATATACGAGCATTCACCTGAACATTTAGAAGTAAAAGTCAGTGATACCAACTGTGATAGTAAAAATAAATCCCAAGAGGATTTGTGTAATAGTAAAATTGATTTAAGCGAAACAGCGGAGAATTACGATTTAAGAAATGAATCAGATGGTGAACCTAAATATAGATATTTGGCTTTAAATTTCCTCAAATCAGAAATAAGACCCAGTTACAATGCTAATAAATTACAAAAGCTTCATCTCTTACAATACTCGATAAAGAAAAGGCAAGAAGCTGTACAAGAAATTAAGGAGAGAATTTACAAAAAGTCTGCCTTAACAGATGAGAATTGGGTCCAAGCAAACGATCAATTTGAACTAAGACAAAGAAAGAGTAGATCTCAGAGGAATTTATTTTCCGCTGATGAGAATATCTTTGATAGAGAGAGGTCATCTTCACATAGCGATTTAAGCATCAAAAATGGAAAGGTCAAAGATGAAAGACCAGTTTCTAATGGACCAAGACTTGCCTTAAAATTGAATGACCTTTTGTCTTTTAAGGTTTGTATTTCAATGCTTCTTCTCTTCTTCAGACAAAAAATGGAAAATCTTTGTGTTAACTTCTGTAGCTTAGTTGAATAGCTACTATAATAGTTCTTTTTTATTAATTTTCTTTGTACAATAATAAACCGCTATATTTTTCTCAATGATAGAGGTTTCTTTCTAAAGCGAATCTCTCACTTATGGAGATAGTCCGTCGACAAAAAAATGCTTATCCATATCCTCTTTCACACAATCCATGCATACTTTCTTTGGTCTTCCTCTACATTTGTAACCATCCACATTCAATCTCATTACTTTTTTGTTTATATCATCTTCCTTATATAAAGACGGCTAAAACACTCAGTGAACTAGAGGGGCCTTGTCCGCAAAATAATGCCAGTCCCACTCATCCTGATAAAGGGCCCAAGATGGGCTCAAAACTAGTCGGTGCCGTCACCGGACAAATGTACGTCAGTGTTTTAACCGTCTTTATGTAAGTTTATCATCCTTCCGCATAACATGTCTAAACTACGCTATTTTTATATATAATGTTATTAATTATTAATATTAAATTTTTACAGTCAAAACCTTCTCCCTTCCAAAGAGCAGAGCATGTAAGGTTAACCAAACAGTTAGAAATTCTTCGCTTCAAGCGAATAATTCTATCCGACGAGCGAGACAGCAAACTCGCAAATATAAGAAGACTGAAAGAGATGCATAGCAAGTTGTTTGAGGAGAATCAAGATGTTGGTAAGCGTTCAATGAAGTTTACTCTTAAAATCGGTACAAAAAGATGAAGAGAGAAAGCATGAAATTATTTTATGTCTCTACTAATTGTCTCCCACGACTCCATCCGCGAGGAATTAAAAAAAACTTAATTAGTAGCCTATGTGTTCTTCCAGGCTATGTTCTACATCTATTCCAAATACCAGTTAGATCAGATCAGCGGTTCTGGAGATATCTTCAAAGAAATATCCATCCATCCATTTAAACATTAGGATCTATAATATAATATATATAAAATTCTCGTGACACAATTTTCGTTCCCGTACTCCTCCGAAACAGCTTGACCGGTTCTCATGAAATTTTGTGAGCATATTGACTAGGTCTGAGAATCGGCCAACATCTATTTTTAATCCCGCACAGACGGAGTCGCGGACGACAGCTTGTATAAGTCTAAGTTTCCCAATCGTTACGTGACCATTACAGGTTCGGAACTAATGCAAAACTACCATACACTATCTCGACGTAACGAGGTATTGAAGGAGACACGACAATCTTGTGCGGCGTTGCGAGAGCTTGCCGCACGCAGCCATGCAGCATTGGCCAGCAGACGATGCGACCTGCTCGCACAATTACATCAGATATTTTATATTGAACAGGTGAGATAACCTTACTTATTGGTATATGAGGGGAATATTTCAAAGATACTTTGCTTCTGGGTACTATGAACGACAAATTCACTCATATCACCTAACCTTGTATGACCTAAACCTTAACAGTGGTAGAGCCCGCTTTAACATCTTCGCAAGAATCGGCCCGGCTCGCCCGGTGAAATACCACGACCACACAGAAGACACGCGTCAAGTGGAAGCAATTCCAAGTACAGTCTGATGAGTGTGCGTCCCGGAGGCCTAAATTAGTCCTCTTTCCCTTCCCACCCTTTTTCTTATAAGGAAAGGATGGGAAGTGGTAGTGGACTTTCCGGACGAGAGGATGCATGGAACGAGAAGATATTAGCTTTCTGTGCATCCTCTCCTCCGTCGATTAAAGAGTCACAAGATGCTTGTACCGTAGCTGTCTTGTATTTTATTATGGCATTTTCTGTATGTAAATATTTTGTGAAACAACCGAGCAACGCCTCTCTCACCTTGGGTTTCTGACACCCCATCTTCATCTCTATCTTTCATCTTTTAAACTAGGACTATGGTCTCCCAGCCACCCACGATCACCGGGCTAGACATTGACCATAGATTTGCACACTAGTTGTAATTTACTGAAAAACTTCAAGACTTAGTTTTATTTGTAGTCATAATTTTTCCAACAGAACGAAACATGGCACATAGTTGGCGTACAGCTGCCGATATGTGATGACGAGAGTCCGCGCAGTAACGCGCTCAGTGACGCAGTAGCTGCTGGCTACGTGGCGCAGCTGACAACTCTAGCAGCTGCTGTGCTGGGTCAGCCGCTGCGCTACAAGATCATACTGCTGGGTTCTGCTAGTAAGATACTTGATATCATGCCGGATTTACCAGATCCCAAGTGAGTACTCTCTTTCAGCTTCTACTCGACTGACATAGTGTCTTTTGACGAATAAAAAAATAACTTTTAGTTTTTAGTATTGTTAGGTTAGCGTGATTTGGACATGTTATGCGGAGGGATGATGATGATATAAACAAAAAAGTAAAGAGATTGAATGATTGTGTGTAAGAGGATATGCTTACGAAAGGGGTGAATTCAGATATGACTGCTGATAGAAATGTATTGAGGAGTATATACTGTACCGACCCTCCGTAGGGTTAAGGGCAGGTTGATGATGAGATTGTTGAGATTTTAAACACAGATATATTATCTTTTTCAGCATCCCGTTGTTTGCTAGAGGTGGAGACGTGACACTGTTCCGCTATGGCATGTTCTTACTGAACAAGTGCATAGCTCAGTTGCTGTGGGGCAGAGGATTGTCAGTGACAGACATGAGGCCCACGCTCAGCAATCTGCAGCGACTGCTGATAACACCGAGTAATCTGTAAGTGATCGACCAACTAGCTTTACTGACTGACGACTAACTTTACCGATTAACGACTAACTTTACCAAGTGACAACTAACTTTATCAACTGACTGACTTACTAACGTTACAGATTGACCGTCTAAGTTTACCCACTGTGCATATAACCTTACCTACCAATTGACTAACCGTGTTGACTTTAGAACGACTGACTAACCGTACCGACTGACTGACAAAACTATGTCTTCCTGACTAATCTTACCGACATTTTATTGCAGATCTGATACATCCAAATTGTTTGGTACATATCGTTGGTTGGCAGACAGTGAATGTCCAAGGACACAATCTTTGCGGAGTCTGGTTGCCTCAGAACGAGGGAAATATCGTCCCTTCAATCGATTCAAGGTCAGTTACCTGGGTTTTATGTTACTTATTATTCAGGACGTGTAGGAAACGGTTCGGTAGACAGAAAGCAAGCAAACGATGCTGGCTCTATCACTGCTGTAATATTAAACATACTAATATTAAACTAGCAGTCGCCCACGACTCCGTCCGCGAGAAACTAAAGAATACTTGATTAGTAGCCTACGTGTTCTTCCAGACTATATTCTATATGTATGCCAAATTTCAGCTAGATCTATGCAGCCGTTTTGGAGATACCTTCAAACAAACATCCATCCATCTAAATATTTGCTTTTATAATATTAGTAAGATGCGAAATTTAGGTTGACGGATGTTTGTTTGAAGGTATCTCCGGAACGACTCAACTGATCTTTATGAAATTTAGCATAGATGTAGAACATAGCCTGGATGGACACATGGCTACTAATTAAGTTGTTCTTTAAATCCCGCGTGGAAGGAGTCGCAGGCAGCTAGTGCATAAAGAAAATGTGGTCACTTCCTGGCGATGTCTTCTCTTTCTTTCTATTTCTCTCTTCGTTATTAAAGTCTAAATTTGCTTTATATTTCCAGGAGACTGTGGATGGTCAATCTCCTCACTCTATAATGAATGTACGAAGACATAAACATTCTCGCAGCGTCGGTAGTTGTCAAGATGACCAGGTATTGATGAAGATATGTAAACCTTATTAATATTATAAATCCAAAGGTTTGGATGGATGGATGTAGAACATAGTCTGGAAGAATGCATAGGCTACTTATTAAGATTTTTAATACCGCGCAAACGGTGTCGCGGGCTACAGCTAGTATTATCTAAATTTATAGACAAATGTAAGCGTCATGTTTAAATAATTCGAGGAGAGTGTTTCTTACATATTGTGGTCTTTGTTTTGTCAAAGAGAATGAAAGAGATGGCAATAGACAATCGTTACGACAATGAAATTCTAGGGTTAGAGTCAACCTCCGATATTTTAGCATAGCTTATAAAATAGCAAGCCCAAAACGATTTGATTTGATTTAAATTTTATCTTTCTTTTTTGCTATTTACTTAAAGGAAATAATCTAGTAATTCTTCCAAATTTGTTTATGTACGTCATGTTTTTTTAAATTTTTTTTTAGTTTTGGTCGGCAAATGATAGAAATCGCCACCAAAGGAATCGTTCAATATCGTATTGAAAGTATATATGTATGTACATATTTAAATATATTGATTTAGTTTGGCTAAATTTATTGTGTTGGTCCTCTTGTGATGTTTGCTTACCACGTATTACTTGGTGTGGGTAGTTTGAAAAAAAAAAACAATTATAGAATAGTTACATTAACCTCCTTGATAGTTAGTTAGAATTAATTAAAAAAAAAAATTATTGTACTATTGGGGTCATAACTCACTTTTGCTCTTTTCATTTAGAAGTATGATAATAGGCAATTTTTTATTCATATTTAATATGGAAATAAATATTAGATTCCACTCAATTGTATTAGGATCATAGAATCAGTAATGGGCGTGTTAAATTAGCTACTTTACGGTGGGTTTCTGAGATCAAATCTCTATAGAAAATATATCGTAATCCCTGTTATTATCTTTGAAAAAAAAACAGAGATTACAATATATTTAAGCGCAGATTATGACCTCAGAAACCCAAGGTTTAAACCTTAGGTTTCTGAGGTCATTGTTTTAATGTATTTCTAAGTTTTCTTCTCAGTATCGCAAAATAATTAGTCTTAATCAATTATTAAACTTAATTATGAAATATAATCTTATAAGGTTTTTTTCCTTTCCAGGATTTATCAATTTTAGCATCGACAACATCAATAATGGGCAGCGATTCAAATATTTATAATATGAAATTAAATCAAACAGATCTACAAGCAAAACAAAATTGTCTCAAATCTCATAATTCCGATTCGGAAATTTCTAGAATGTCAACCGAAGAACGCGTTGCACAATCTAATTCTAGTAACGTCGTTTTCACTTTAGGTGATGATAGTACATCGATTGATATAGAAACTGAGAAATTAGTTAAAATATCAATAAACAATGACGACGAATGGAATAACTCCGTCGATGAGAATGTCAAAAGGATATGTACAGAAATTAAAGATTTTTGCACCAATACAAATGAATTAAGTACAGAGTCAGATAGAAATGATGCAAATAGATTAGACGGAGATGTAAATAGAGAGGCAATAGCTAAATGTATTGAAGTTAAAAGTAAAGATATAGAAGACGATATAGCTGTCTCATGCGATACATGTGAGAGTAACAGAGATGGAACATGTGATATGGCTTGCGCTAATAATGTTAGAGAGGTTATAGTTATACCAAGTGCTGAAGCAATATTAAACACGGGTCAGAATGAGACGAACAATATTAACGATTGTGACGTACAATAATTATAATAAGATGAAATATATATTTTTTTATATCACAAGGTGGCAAACCAGCGAGCGGCCACCTGAAATCGCTGAAATAGCGAAGAGACCGTTGCCCATAGACATACGCAATTGCATATGCGTTGCCTAACTTTAATCGACGGAGGAGAAGATGCACAGAAAGAAAATATTTTTTTCTTTCCAGATATCCTATCATCCGGAAAGTCCACTTCCACTTCCCATCCATTCCTTATAAGAAAAAGTGTGGGAAGGGAAAGAGGACTAAATTAGGCCTCCGGGACGCATACTCATCAGACTGTACTTGGAATTGCTTCCACTTGACGCCTGTCTTCTGTGTGGTCGTGGTATTTCACCGGGCGAGCCAAGACAATTCGTGCGAACATGTTAAAGCGGGCTCTACCACTGTTAATTAAATTGTTTAGACCTTTTACAATGATTGTTGCGCAATACAATTTACTTTTCCAACCGTAAATTTTAACAAATGTGAAACCTTTAATATTTCAAAATCATCGATATTGTTTTGTATCTTTATGTGGTTAGAATAGAATTTAATGTACTCACTGTAGCTTTCTGATACCAGAATCCCCGTTTAAAACATATCGTTATCTCTGTTTTGTCAAAGATAATGACAGAGATGACGATATACAGAGATTTTGGTCTGGGAAACCCACGGTGAATCTGATAATAAATTGAAGGAGAGAATAATAAAGTAAATAATTAGACTGATACTCCCATATTTTATACATTGTTTTTAGTAAATAAAATTAATGTTATTTTTTTTTTCAGATTATTTTGAAAGTCATGAAGATTTTTTTCATATCTAAAATTACGAAATTGACATCTTAAAATTAACCTCAACTTGTCTTGTGTAATATCATTTAATTAAAAACTAATATTTCAGTCCCATTTCGTTAAAACATGTAAGTTTTTTTGTCCCTTGGAAGATTTAAAAATGGACTCCCCAATCGCACAATTATTGCCTTTTGAATTTCATAAAATTGTAATCAAATTTGATAAGAAGCTATCTCATCTTTTAACTGATATTAATAGAGATAGATAGATACCAAACATAATACAAATAATTTATTTATTTATATAAAAAAACCTTTAAAATCACCCACATCTAAGAATCGCCCCATCCAATGCCTTTTGGATAAAAAGTTTTTTTTTTTTTAAATTAAGGAATAAACGTAATACCTAATCTTAATAACAATGTATATACAATTAGGGTTGTATATTGTATTTATATAATATAATAAAAGTTAATAAAAACTACTTAATACTTTGTGTTGGTTCGTCCTCGGGAAATTCTAAAGCCCGAGTGGCAAATTAAAAAGAAATATTTAATTTCTATTAAGTTATGTTACAGCTGTGATGTTTCTGTAAATAATGTTATATACTGTATTATTTCAATTAACACATAGCTTATGTAGTTTAATTTATATACTAGTATTTTGTTCACATAAGCGTTTAGGTCAATGATAGTGATATTTTTTTAATATTTATTTGACCACAGACAACACTCAATCTAACTTAATAATCTCGAAAATCCAATTTCCTGAAATTAAGCCACATAAAAATTTCCCATACAAAATGGTTTATTTTACGGAAATATCGAAGGACTAATAGTTTACAAAATTCTTTGATATCTGGTTGAAGACATAGCTTGCAGAAATAGTCTAAAACAATATATGGTAGACTACAATGAGAAAAATTAATAACAAAAATCATTAAAGCAAGGTTTTGTAAAAACGACTACAAATTGCTATTCGATTTTTATACTATAATTTTCTTTATAGTATCCATAAAAATAAGGGATTAGAAATCATGAAGAACAGAACGAGGACTACTACAAATTAAAAAAGAAAAAAACTGAAAAACCTTATCTTTTTTTATAATTTGATTACCTTTATTTAAATATCTTGATATGAATTTATAAGTGTCGATCTCTATTCTTTCCTTCTTCTATGGTAATAATGGAAGATTCAATGAAATATTCTATTTATTTAATTAAGCCTTTCTCTTTATTTGTTGAATTCACATATAATAATGTGAATTTATTATAAATATACTCGTATCTTGTATCGGGTTGAAGTTGAAAATTGTTAAAACATTAAAATCTTAAAAAAATATTAAGATTTTTATTTTATCCCTTTCTATTCTTGCAGGTTTTATATGGAATTAACATTGGCTGAAGTATATTTGTTACTTAGTTATCGGAAATTCTTTTCAATTCGCTTGTATCGTTAGTAGAAATAAAAAGCAAACAAAAAAGACCTGTTTAGTGCCATATTGAATATATTTAAGGTCTTTGCAAATTCATAATATGTTCCTAATTTGATAAGATATAATACGACTAATACTTTCCCTTTTCGAGGTATTCATGAATGCCATGGATATTAGAATCTAAACATCTCTTACGAGAAAAAACCGAAGGAAATTGTCACATGAACATATGACATTAGCGCACAAAAATTTAAAAATATATTATTTTTAAACTGTGGTATGAGTACATAAAACCTTTTTTCATTTTCCTACACGAAGTTTTACTGCTGGCAGGCAAGAACGATATTCATAAAAAACAAAATTGTTAAGTTTGACAATCGCAATCTTGTAATTACCGTCACGTTAAAAGTTAATCACGTAGTATTTTGTTAAGCAGCAAATGTGGCAGTGTACTTTTATTTATGGAAAAGGTGAGTTTAATTTTAATTTGAATAGAAAACGTGTAACTTAATGAAGTTAGTATCGTCCTAATTATATGACCTTGAAGTCAAAAAGTGTGATAAACACATTACTTTGTTCTCCTAAATAGTATTTCAATTTCCACAGATAATTAGAATTTCCTTCAACCTAAACGCAAGCGTAGACGCAGCCGGGTTGTGTTATTTCCTTGGCAAAATATAAAACCGGCGACCAACATCAGCAGAGCTCCGGCAGGGTATGTAACCATTTATTTATTTTTGTAAAACTCCGGAGTCGGTGTAACATTAGAGTTCAAGATTTAATGGTTAGTAATCTCGCCCAGAGAATGTATAAATAGAAGAAGTCAGTTCATACGCTCGTGTTCTAAATTCAAAAGTGTCCGGCGCCCGCGTCGCTTGGACATATACGAGAATCGATTTTTGATGTAAATTTATCGATAATTAATCTGGAAAGGCCACAGTCGTATTTGAGGTTAGGGGACTTGTGTTTTGTGTGTGAAAATGTGTGAATTGTGCAAACAACGGTAGATTGAATACGGATTGTTCTGTATTGAATTGGTAAGGATTTTTTTTTAAATAATATTGTAGGTAGACACTAAATTTAAAGGCAAAGTCATGAGTCACGTATTAGCTAAGCAAACGTAATATAATTTATAAATTTGAGGAGGTATTTTGTAATTTATTTGAATATTTCTATGTAATAGTATATTCTTGAATACAATTACGGAGGTATTAGTATCTTTAAAGGTTTTTTTTTCCAAACCATTGAAAGTTTATTTTATTAATAATTAACATTCTAACAGTACAATTAAATTGGTATGAAATCTTAAACTTAACATCTCCGTGTTGTTTGAAAGTTTTACAATATTACGTAACGACTATTATTTCATATATTGCTACACGAAAACTTCGTTTTAAATAATACGCGAATATTACATGAGTTTGTGTTAATACAGAAACAATGCCTTAAAAACATTTATTACTATTTTGACATCAGTTTTAACTTAAATTGTTAATATATTAACTTGAGAATAAAAGAAACTAAAGTATTAATTAGTATAATCTCAAATCAGTCTTATTCTTGTTAAAAGGTGTTGCCACGTGCGAATGTTGGTTAGCAGTTTATTTTTAATTCAGCTTCAGGTCACATTAAAAATACCGCCAATGTAAAAGTTCGTACCAGACATAAACACTTAAATAACTCAAGATAACTGTTTGGATGCTTACGCTTTTTAATGTGGATCGAAGATTAAAGAATGCGTCTTGTGTCAGCGTATTATTGGAAGATACCGTCATAAAGCTGAATAAACTTGTTATAAGTATTTTGGCAGTGGAAACTAACGGCTTAATATAAATAAATAGCGTAAAGTATTCCAATTACGTATATAATGATTACTAATATATGCATCTACCTAGATGGATGGATGTTTGTTACTAGTATCTCCAGAACGGCTCAACGGATCTTGACGAAATTAGGCACAGATGTAGAATACAATCTGAAAGAACACATAGGATATTAATTAAGTTTTTTCTAATTCCACACGGACGGAATCACGGTCGCAAGCTATGACTTAGGGTTGTTTACCCTCTTCTGTTATAAAAAAATGTGGTTTATACACATTTAGAGCTTATTGTTTTAGAATAACAACTCGGGTAGCTTTAGATTAATAATATTTCATCAGTAATTCTTCTTTAATTGATGTTAGCTTATATTGTGTTTACCACTTTGAAGGGTCAGCAAATTTAAAACAGATATAATCATGTAACGCACTGAAGTCTGTACGTAATATAAATAACTCCACTTCAAGACAATAATGTATGTGTTCGAAATAATTCCATAACAAGATAGAGCTGGCAATTTCAAACCGGATCTTTCGCTTCATATCTCTATTATAAATGTTTAATATTAAAGTTAATCCACGTTAAATTCAATGTTCTAATATACATTTCTTAGTTTAATTTGAAAGTAAATTCCGAGCTACGCAGTAGAGAAATTCCTGAAGTCACGACAGAAATTTCGGGAACGTGAATAATAATGGCAACCTCAAATAATAAAAGTAATATTTTTACAAGCCTGTTTAGAATCCGTATCTTTTGGACAATAGAATTATAATAGAGGCTAAATAATGTGCCGATAGTTTCTATTATTTGATAGTTTTAAATTTTATCGTAAAAAAACACATAACGTAAAAAAACTCGTGTTGTTACATTTTTATTATTATTATTACATCGCTAAAAGAAAATTATGATAAATTATTTTCCCGAAATTTAGGCATATTCTCTTTCACTGGCAACCCTGTAAAATTTTCCCTAAAGCTTAATAGGTTTGCAGTTTTCAGTACCCTGCGGCATTTGGACGCAGTGGACGTAAAATGGGTTATTCAGCGTGGATTTTTCTAGAAAACAAAGTGTAATAAAACTTCAAACCCTACGGTGTTTATGTATTTGTGTGTGTGAATTTCTGTTAAAGTGTGTGTGATTTGTATTGGTGTAGGGCAATGTTTTTTTACGTCCGCATGGAAAACCGTGAAGGTTTGTTTTTATTACTTTTCCTGATTTTAATGAAGTCCGGTAATATAACTCGACTGAATTGCGAGGGTTAGGTTTTAAGAATTCATTGCTATTATTATTTTGCAGTATGCAATTTACTTTTGTTTTATGTTTAAATTTTAACAAAATTATAGCGACTGCCCCGCAATAAAAAAGTGAAATTCTCCTTTGTAATAAACATTCCATTTGAAAGTAGGTTAATGTTTGTATTTAGTACTGCCTTTTTAAATTTCAGTACGCGTATATACATCAATTTAATATAATAGTAATTTATACATCCATGTTTATTTTGTAATTTAGTACAATATATAATATTTGTAGGTATAATGACATTATTTTACAGTAAATAAAAATCTATTTGAATTAAATATCCAGCACAATTCTCAACAGTCGAAGAAAAGATGACATTTTTAATCTTTTAAGCCAACTGAAATGACAATTGGTAATATGCATCTTTGCAATGATTTTTCGATTATTTATACATATATAAATAAAAATATAATGTCGAATGTAAAGATTTTTTTTAGTTTTTCTCTAACGGTAAATTTTCATTTTTCCGGGAAATTTCTTAGACGTCTTGGACGATTTTGACAGGAATAATACAGGAAGGTAGCTAATGCATGCGGGCATATACAGCCTATTTTTCTGCGCTGACGAAGTTGCAAGCGATCGCTCATATTAATATAAGTACCTACAATTTTTTTTACTTTGTTACGAATTGTTAATTTCTTTTCTCTGTATTAATTAATAAATGCTAAACGAAGTAAGGCGATTACCTTTTCCATTTTACAATATTTCACACGCGATCATTTATTATAACAGGCATTTTAATAAGGACTAGCCGTCGCCCGCGACTCCGTCCGCATGGATATATAAAAAAAATAATTAGTGTAGCCTGTGTTCTTTCAGACTATGTTCTCTACGTATGCCAAATTTAATCGAGATCTGTTCAGCCGTTCTAGAGATATCTTCAAACACCCATCCATCCATATATATATATATATATAGATTTAATTATTTTATTATATTATATATTTTATTTATTATATTATATAATAGATTTAATTATTTTATTCATACACTGAAAACATAAGTCTTATATATAAAATGCTCAAATTTCGAACAACAGTCGATCACAAGTAACCGTGAAGGTACTTCAACAATTTATATGTCAAGTAATATATACCACAAGTAGCAATGCCCCAACATAACAACGCACGTAACCCAGAGGTGTAGCCAGAGACCACAGACATCCCTTTAGCGCGGTTCTGACATATAAGTTTTATACGGAGATTTTGGTATTAGAAACACACAGTAAGACAATATGGAGTAATGTGCGCTTAATTCGCGAAGCAATTTTTTTTTTCATATATAGAAATATGATTTAGTTTTATAGTTGAGTGGACATGCAACTGATTTCTCGTCGCAAATGCTGCAAAATCGATTTCGGTGTTGTCCGTGACCCTTCTCCTTATGTAATCCGGATAAGGCCGATTTTCTTATTAATATGAAACAACGTCGACACTACAACGTCTGTCTCTCAGTCTGTTGTCTGGCCACAAATATAGTATTAGTAAGGAAAATCTATGCTAAGGTACCGCTTAAGTAATCATTAAACAATTCAATAGTGGAAGTTTTAATAATAAAATGACTAAGCACAAATCTCTCGTTGCTGTCTGTTGTTCGTAGCGTTTAACGTAGCGGTAGACCTTCTATGATTTTGTCTACGACATCGTAGACACAAAGCCGTTCGTAGCGCATAATCCTCGTCGAAGCTACGAACATCCTATTTAACTTGCCTTTTGTAGTCTCGAAAGTCTGACATTTTAATATTCATCAAAGATTAATTTGTTCCTCTTGATTAAGTTTGAATTTAATTTTATTTTCTTATTCAAGTGGAATAATGAGCAATTTGACCACAGGGGAAGAACGTAATTGAATTTTAATATTTTTTTATCCTATAACATGAACCTAATGACAACTCATTCTTCAAAGTTAGTCAAGTTCAAAGATACATAATTAAATAAATATTGTAGACATCATCATCAGCTCACTATACGTCCCCACTGAAGGGCTCGGAGTCCACCCTAAGTTAGGAGTGACTACGCCATAGTCACCGATGTCCCATTGCGGGTTGACTTTACACATATTGAATTTCTTCTCAGATATATGCAGGTTACATCACGATGTTTTCCTTCACCGTAACAACGTCGGATAAATGTACATAAGTAAATCGGAAACCGAAAAACACATTGGTACATGGCGAGATTCGAATCCAGGACCTGCAGATTGCAAGGCAACTGCTTGACCCCTGAGTCACCGTGTAGACATACATGTAGTAAACAGGCACAATCACTGTAATATGTTTCGCCGTCTGGCTATAAAAATATATTTATGTACATTTATAGTCTGTGCTAAATATATCTCGTTCTGTCTGACGTCATTAAATAAAGTATTGACAATGATTGATGAATGTATCGCATGAGAATAACTCATATTGATTGATAACTGCCACAATATGTCGGCCGGATGAATCTATACATCTACAGGCTGTCGCCCGCGATTCTGTCCGCGCGGGATTAAAAAAAATAGTAGGCTATGTATTTTTCCAGGCTATGTTCTACATCTATGTCCAATTTCAGCGAGATCCATACAGCCGTTCTGGGTATAACTTCTGACAAACAAACATCCAAACATTCGCATTTATATTATTAAGTAAGATGCGACAATTTAGATTGATGGATGGATGTTCGTTAAAAGGTATTTCCAGAATGTTTGCATACGTCTCGATGATATTTGGCATCTTACCTATATTATCGATGGATGGATCGATGGAGGTTACTTTGAAGGTATCTCCGGAACGGCTCAACGGATCTTGATGAAATTTGGCACAGACCTAGATAGGAGTCTGGAAGACCATAAAGGCTACTCATTAAGTATTTTTTTGATCCGAGCGGACGAAGCCGCGGTCAACTATATAGGTGTAGAATATAGTCTGGAAGAACACATAGGTAGGTTTATTTATAATTCCGTACGAACAAAGTCGCGTGTAAAGTGTAGTTTGTAACATTTGCGTTAAATTATACTAAAGTTTGTATTGACTTCTTGATTATTGATGTCGTAAAATATGTCTGGAAGTTCTGTTACGTTGCTCTTTATCTATCTATGTCATCGGATTACATCAAAGGAAAAGTATTGTAAAAATGTTTTTCTTTTATTTTGATTAAACTTGCGGGAAAACGGATTTTATTTAATAACTGTTGCTCGCAACTTTTACCGCATAATAATTACTACGTTTTTTCCCCTACTGACTTAGGAGGTTAATGTTATTGGAGCATATGAATTTTTTTAAATATATGTGTTTTGTTTGTGTATTTTTAAGCTACCAACAACATCTGTTGCACTTACAAATGACAGGCTATTCCATGTTTCTCGTGAGAGAGAGAGTTCCGCGCCTAATTTTGGTTCTCTTACCTCTCTCACCCATTTCTTGTAAGGAAAGGACGGGAAGGGGCGTGTTGAGCGAGTGGACTGTATGATGATGTAATGAAAGGCTGGTTGTGGCTGATGATTGTAATGCAAAAGGATTATAAAAACAAATATGATTTGACATGTATATCGTCGGGCGAAATGGCGTGGCGCGACTGGTAGATACAGAGTGAAGAGTGCACGGGGCGGCGGGCGGGGTCTGTAATTGTGTCCCCCGCACTACTGTTTCGGTGCAGTAGTACCAAACAGGGCGAAAGAATTGCTGAATTAAGGAACGCATAGGAAGTGGAAATATTCTCTTTACGTGTGTCATCTACTCATAGTATTTTAGGTAGGAGGTAAAGCGAGACAGCGGTCTCCACAGACAGCCGCAATTGCAAATGAGTTTCCTATTTTTAATCGACGGAGAAGGAGACCCACATAAAGATAAGAAATTAAGTAATCAAAATAAGAATCTTAATATTAGGTCAAATAAAATAATATTGTATACCATAGAAATGAGATTTATCCAATCTAAATATTTATTTTGCGAAATACAGAACGATTTTCACGATGGATGTAGGTCGAGCAGATATTAAAACAGCTCGCCATTATTATGAATGTATTTGGTTTTTGTGTTACGCTAGAAATATATATTATTTTGTAAAATAACCTAAAAGGCACTATAAATACATGTTATCCCTTTAATTCTCTTTTAAGATATGTAAATAGCAATGTTATCCCGGTAAAATTAAATATAATTCGCATAAAACTGATAATTGGTGAGAATTTTCGAAATTCCATTATATAAGGTTCCAAATGCTTAAAAACCATTTTTGGAATCTTTGACCTTGATTTTTTTTCAATATGAAAGATGGTGAGTATGGTTTAAATATATGTAACGGTGTTCCAAACAATCCTACCAATAACAAGCTCTATGCAAATTATTGTATCTTTAAAAAGATGATGGTATTTTTTTTTAAAACTTTATTCTTAATAATTCTTTAAAATTAAAATATAATAGAAGCACGTACCTTGAAATTAAGAATTCAAGTAAGTTGCCAAGTTAATTAAGCCCATGTTGCAATAAACTATGTCAAAGTATTAACCGCATTTATGTAACTTTTACCTTGCAGATTATAAATATCGTATACCTTTAACGTAGCCTTACTGCTTAGATAGAAACTTTCATGCTATACGAGTACTTACAGTTCCCCGCGACTTCGTGTGCGCGGAATAAAAAATTAAATCTAGTCTTATTGATGTTATTAATGCGAATATTTGGATGTATGGATCCATCTGATGGATGTTTGTAAGAAGGTATCTCCAGAACAGCTGCATGGATTTCGCTGAAATTTGGCGCATCTGTAGAACAGTCTGAAAGAACACATAGGCTACTAATTAAGTTTTTTTTTAATCCCGTGCGGACAGAGTTGCGGGCAACAGATAGTAAAAAAATCTTTTTATTTATTTAAAAAAAAGTTTTTGTTGCCATGAACTTCCAGCCTTATTGTAGATCTCTCGGAACACATTCGGATGTATAGACAAACATTTAAAAAAATATTTTTCGTTAATAGAAACGCAAATACACGTGCACGAAATATGTAAAATTTCTTTTCATATTACAAACAGACACACCAATTTTATTTATCTGTATAGATTTACAACTAGTCGTTTTAAAAAATGAATTTCACTACTTTTAACATTCTGTAAACTAAAGCATAAGTTACATCAGATTGTAGAGTTTGTTAGTACTTAAATCGAACAAAATCTTTCAAGAATTGCATTCATTGTCAACAATACAATGTTGCTAAGATAAAACTAGCATTTACGATATCTCTGAATTAAGTTAACTCACATAAAGTTGAGCTAAAGCTATATGAAGTCTGGTACAACTTACTCATAGACATGTAGACGCCTGCTTACTAACTGAAAGGATTTCATTGCTTATCAATGTTGAAGGATCTTAGTGGAACTTACCCATGAACTATGACTTAATTTCTGTATTGCTCGGGATAGGTGATTACCGTTAGGCCTATCAGCCTACAGATCAATTAGCCCAATTGATTTTTTTTTGTATGGACTCAATCGGCCCAATGAAATTATTCTTCTCTGAGGCTAAGAAATATTAATACTATCATTTTTTTTCGAATTAATGCCTTGAAGAGCTGCTTTTTATTAAACTTACAAATATTATTAATGCGAATGTTTAGATGGATGTGATGTGGATGGATGGATCGGTGTTGGAAGATATCTCTAGAGCGGCTGAACGGATCTCGATTAAATTTGGCATACGTAGAGAACATAGTCTGAAAGAACTCATAGGCTATACTAATTAAGTTTTTTTTATATATCCAAGCGTACGGAGTCATGGGCGACAGCTAGTATTATATAAAATGTACAAGATATGAAAAGAAAAATCCTGCAATGAAATACGTGTTCATAAAATGTGTCGTAATAGCGGTATCCACTTTGTTGCTTTTACGTGACGAAATTTTTCGGAGCGGTTTTACCCAAAAGAGCTTTGTGGGGCTACGACAAATTAAATTAGTTTTTGTGTCTCGTACATTCACACACATTCTTTTAACCCAACTGGTTCTGGAAGGTTTTCACACGTATGTATTTTTTTATGTGATGAATTTGTCTGTATATAAGTTCGATTATATCTAGCCGTCTGTAAAAGTTGCCCACGACTTCGTCTATAAAAAAAGCCTATAACATACCCGATTGCATCAGCTACCTGCCCGTCAAAGTCCTATCAAAATTGGTTCAGCCGTTCCGGAGATTGCCCGGAACAAACGCGAACTTCCGGACAGATATATAGACATAACTTAAAACTTGGTTTTTCGGTATCAAGCAACACTTCGTGTTTAATATGATTTTTTTCTCGATATTACATACAAATCCAATGTTATTAATTAGTAACTTTAATAATGTGTGTCATAAAAATAATGTCATATATTCAAGTTATCTTGATTGATGGCTATATGTTCAAAAGTATCTCCAGAACAGCTGTATGTATCTCGGTGAAATTTGGCATAGATGTAGAACATAGCCTGGACACATAGGCTACTTATTAAGTTTTTATAATACCGCGCGGAAATCGAGGGCGATAGCTAGTTTGTTAATAAAATCTTTTATACGTCATTTCAACACTTAATTATTAATATAATGTGTTAAGCGTGTTTAAACTTATTAGTATAGCCTCAAATGTAATATTCCTAACACGTGGCGTGACGGTGCCCTTGTGACCCTCATACGAATCACAGATATTAGAAGTAAATACTATTGGATACGGTATTTGTTGTTAATTTAGGCGACTAATCTTTTTTATTAAGTTATTATTTCACAAAGATACATTGCAGAATGGTTTACTTTTACAATTCAATTGAAAAATGTGTTTTTTATCTTAAATTTGAGATCGGTTCTTTGATTTTCTTTTAACATATATCGAATTGAGCTACTCTTTAAAACAAAGAAAAGGTGAAATATTAAATTGTAATAAACATACCGCATCCAGTTTTAATCATAGCTTTTTGACGAACTTACATACATTAAGGGTGTGTTTGCTTTGAAGCTTGTAAAACTTAACTAGACAATTTACAAGGATTTGTTTAGGCTATATTTGTCTTAGCGTGTTTACAATACATAATTTAGACATTATTAAAAAGCTTGGAAACATTTAAATATTACTTTTATATGTCTTGAATTAATTATAGTTACATTCGTAAGTCTGGTTGTCTATCTGTTTGTCAGTTTTACTTATATTCTTTGACAATCATTTATGTTATACTAATATTATAAATGTGAATGTATAGATGGATGGATGAATGTTTGAAGGTATCTCCGGAACGACTCAACGGATCTTGATGAAATTTGGCACAGATGTCAACATAATCTGGAAGAATACATAGGCTATTCATTCAGTTTTTTTTATTTTATCATATCTTAATTTATTTATGGTTGCACAATGGAATTTATAATAAGACGTCTTTTCTTTTTAAACTGTTTCAGATATGCATTTCAAAAGGAATGAAACACTAAACAAGGTCAAAGTATAAATAAATTAGAAGAATAGTAAGATGGCGGAAGCGGAAGGAGGTGCGAGCGAGCAAGATGATGTTTCATTCTTGCGAACGGTATGTAATTATATTAATTTTAGAAAAATTAAAAATCCAGGTCGACTGCCTGTCTGTAAAATATCATTCTATGTCCATTCTTATGCTAAAGGACGCAATGAAATTGATGTACAATCTACAAACGCGCGAAAATTACCAACTTTTGGGTATAGCAAAAATATTGCCTTTATTCTTTCAAGTGTGAAATTGCAACCCATTACAAGATTAACGTCTCACACTGAGCTATACATAAATCTTACATTCACTATTTATATGCTCAGCTTTCTCTCGGCATCCGGCTCGGTATTTATTCATAAGGAACCCTTGTGACCTTGAAATGTACACGAAGTAGCGAGAAAATCTTAGCTATGTTCGAAGCGAATAACCAATATTTTATTTACATTTTTAATTATAACTAACATTAAATATAATACAACATTGTAACAGTCAATATATCGTGATGGTACCTATAATTATTTGCGAAGAAATTCTAAGATGTTTGTGAAGTCAACAATTTTGTAATTGGCCAACATGGTTGACTAAAAGCATAGTTACCCATAATACCCTTATGCTGTATAGACTCCGAGTCCATGGAGTACAATGACAATATCCAAAGTAAGCAACAGTCTTGGGAAAAGTTTTCCTAGCTCTTTTTAGGCAATAGATATCCTACATCGCTTACACCATCTAGCTGGAGTTTTCAGTGTAAATTTAAACTAAAATAATTAGAATTCTTTTACCAACATGATAGATTAGGGTCTCGTAAAATTAAACAGCTCAGAAAGTTTTCATTAAGCTTAAGCCACAAAATACTTCGCTTTGACCAATAAAAGTGTATTAACAAATAGATTTTACGGAGCTATTAAGTTCTTAACGACAGTTTCTTCGTAGAATACGATTCTACAGAGATTTCTTCATAACATTTTGAATTTCAGACGAAAAATGTTGCCAATAAATAAATCACCAATCAATGTCTCGATAAGACAGACGAAGGACCCAAACGTCCTCTAATAATTCACAATTAGTTGGACACGCATTCTTGCTCGAATTTATATTAGATGATAATTAAATCTGAACAAAATACCAATACAGAAGTAATTTAAATAGCAAAGTTTGAACAGCGCTAGTATGTCTATTTTAGTTTGCTTCAGCTGACTCAGGTCTGGGATTTGGCAGATGTGGAGATTAGGAAGGTGCCACATGAGCGGCACGGAACGGCTCAGTTGTGTAGTTCTAAAAACATGCATCCAAGACATGGTTAGCCGCTACTTTGTCATCCAAAACATGAAATCCGACTTACATAACTTCTTTTAAAATGTTGTCTCTGTTTTTTCTAAGATAAAGAAAAGGATGACGATAAGTTTTTCTACAAATATTTTGAGTCGGAAATCCACAGAATGATTGACCGAAGACGTTGTGATATGTGTTGTATAATATCACCGCATTGTTTATCGTACGGAGAAGTCATCGGCACCGACCGTATGGCATCTCTTTAAATGTCATGCCGATGCATTTATTCATAGTCTTACATACAGTGTTTTAATTAGAAGTTTTTTGACATTTTACTCATCATCAACTTGCCTTTATCTCTACGGAGGGTCGGCACAGTATGTACTCCTCCATACATCTCTATCAGCTGTCATATCTGATTCAACCCCTTCTTACACATATCTTTTACACAATCCATCCATACTTTCTTTTGGTCTTCCTCTACCTTTGTAATCATCCACATTCAATCTCATTACACAAAACTGAAAATGAGGTTTAAAATATTTTTTAATGTCGATATTGCACCAGTCTGAAATTATGTTGCTCGTTTACTTGAGCAAAATTAATTGTTGACTAATTAAAATCAACTAATTGGTTGGTTATTATTTATGTTTCTTTACTGTTTTAATATTAATTTATAGTACAGTATCAAGTTTTAAAAAGAGGTATTGGTTGCCATAGCAACAGTAAATTACTTTCACTTGTAACAAATTGGCAAATTACTTTTGTACAGAACTAACCAACTGTCATACAAATTGACAACAAATAGGTATTACGTGAATAGTATAATATATTGATATACAAGAATCGATTCGAATACTTCGTGATAAGGACGGTTTTTCAATAGATTCTATGCTTCATTTTCGCGATGCAAAGGCAATTTCCTGTTTGGGGACATAGCTTTCGTTTCATAGAAGTAGGCCAATTACTTCAAACGTGTTTTTGTATTTTATCTTTTCATAAAATGTGTCATTCACAAAATAAGAACAAGTACTTTCATTTTATTATATGTAAAATCTACGTTTATTATTTGATGTATAATATAATGGGTCTTTATTTTCGTCATTCTAGTTTGCTTTAATTACGATACGAATTAAAAAAAATATCCCTGTTCCATTTCTTTTAAGAACGTCTTTGTCTACAAATGACCTAATGAACAAGGACTAAAGCAATTGTTTAAAACAAGCTAAGAACTGTTTTGCTTTAATACCGTCTTTATATCACTTTCCAGGAAGACATGGTGTGCTTGTCATGCACGGCGACGGGTGAACGTGTATGTCTCGCTGCCGAGGGCTTCGGTAACCGGCATTGCTTCCTCGAGAACATCGCCGATAAGAACATACCACCGGACCTGTCGCAATGTGTCTTCGTTATTGAACAAGTATTTAATCTGTAACTCATTTATATTCGTCCAAAGATAAGCATAGACAAATTTTATATGTCTGTAGATATACTGAATATAGAAAAGTGTGAAGGCAATAATAAACAGCACGAAGCTAAAGAATTTCATTTAAATGCACGTCCGTTCGTGTCGGCAGCGCGTGTATTAATACAAGTGGCGCCATCATATTGCATATTTGGGAAATGTTTGACTTTTTAACAGAACGTTGAAGTAAGATCTGACCTCTATGGACAGGACAAAAGCCGTATTATTTTATGCTTATTTGATTTTAGGACCGATTTTAGCGGTTGGTAGCGATGACGAGGATTCTAACTTATAACAGAAATGTTACTGTCAGTCCACGCACGTTAACTTCAGGACAGACTTTTAAACAACCTATCATTTCTAAGCCGCGAAATAACTCCGACTGAAGTTGACACAAAGTTAAATGTAATAAAGTAAAAAGACGGTAGACATGGAAATAAACTCTTTTGTTTTAGGCGTTGTCGGTTCGAGCTTTACAAGAATTGGTAACAGCAGCTGGATCGGAAACTGTACGTATAAAAATATTAATTTATACGAATTTTGTTACTGTAATATGTTGTACTTGTAAAATTAACTTTCCCATCCTTATAATTTTCAAATTATAACTGTCATTTCAAAAATAATATCCTTAATTTTTGTAACATGTAGTATTGTAACACGTCTGTTAAATAAAAGGCATGGACAATGTTACATGTTACATAAATATATGTTACAACTTCTTCAACAAAGATTTTTATTAGCAAATCTTTTTTTGTTTAATTATATCTTTTAATGTTATTTCCTGTGCTTAACATATTTTATTGTGAATAATATCCCTTTTACGTATTGTTGTTGTGTTAAATTTTACAGGGAAAAGAAAATTTAGTAGTGAGTATGGCCGGTATTTGGTAAATGCATGAAATGTTTGACATTTGAAATTACATTTCAAACTAAACATTTCTTTCCATCTAAATATATACATTTTATTAACTCGATTTTATCTTCTCTATATTAATTATCGTTTTTAAATGTTACTAAAATATAACTAATTACTTTTATAAATAAAATCTAAAACTTTTCAAAAAAACATTTGTCATTAAAAATTAAAATACATTATAATATGCATGTCTCAATTCATTTTTTTGCGTATTTTTTTATCATTTTATTCGAATTTTAAACATTTTTTTTTACTTGTTACCACGATTTTTATTCAGTATTCGATTAGTTAAATGTCAGAAAATGCAGCTGTCATTTTCTGAGCACAAAGCCTGTATTAATTCTAAGTTTTTCATTAAATTGATTTACAATAAGGGTTAAGGAAGAATCTAAACAGTTAATTAATTTAAGGTTAATTAAAAATAAATTGCAGTTTGATACCTTCACGAGTTTTTGAGAAAAAGTGTCTTGACAGATGGACAACAAAGTGATCCTATAAGGGTTCCATTTTTTTCTTTCGTGAACCATAAAAACTATCGTAAAGTCGAATGGAAATGAGAAATTATAATACACCTTTCTAAACAACTTTTTGTGATCACAGATTAATTAAAAACAGACATGACATAACAAAAAATGACGTTCTTTGCCAATGAAATGTAATTTGCCCATTTCCATTTAATTCGACTACACGTTACAAAAGTTAAGTAACTTGAAGCTTGTATAATTTACTATTTAGGTCACGATGCGAGTAACGAAATCGTAGGAATTAAAATAAATTTAGTAAATTTACAGAAGCTACTAGACTCTTTTCTACTACATTTTACATAATTAAATTACATGTAGTAGAAAATATCACTAATTATGATTCAATAAATATAATTTGCACAATTTCTCAAATTCATTTGTCTTTATTCTCACCATAATTTACGATTAATAAATAATATCCTATATTTTTTGTATATTTTTTCAGGGTAAAGGAACAGGTTCAGGACACAGAACATTGCTGTATGGAAACGCCATTTTGCTGCGACATCTCAACAGTGACATGGTTAGTGTTTAAAGATTTAATACGGAGTATAAAAGAACGCGTGCATGTCCCGCGCCGTACGCCCCGTACGCACGGATTACACTGCGTTCGGTGCGTCCGACGTGGCCCAATGGATGCATAATTGTTGTCTCCTTAGGCTACCCTAAGGAGACAACAATTATGTGTGAAAAATGTACACTAAAAAACTGCTAAATTAATGATTAGCCTGAGTGTGTCAGCCAAATTGGGATTCTAGTTCTTAATAATTGTTCTTTCTAACAGTACCTGGCCTGCCTGTCGACATCGTCATCTCAAGACAAGCTGGCTTTCGACGTAGGTCTGCAGGAGCACTCGCAGGGTGAAGCTTGCTGGTGGACTTTACATCCAGCTAGCAAACAGAGGTATGTCACAACTGCATTGCATTTGTTATAATAGATGATGGGTGCACTTAAATAAAAACGATGATTGTATTTTTGAATGTATTTTCAGGTCTGAAGGTGAAAAAGTTCGTGTAGGAGATGACTTGATTTTAGTCTCCGTTGCTACTGAGCGATATCTGGTAAGGTCTTTTTTTTGTTTTGTTTAATCCGTTTATGCACTTCGCCGTCCGTGCTGTGGGGCAGCAGGGACGGTTGCGTTTGGGACTCCCGACCTTGGGATGTAATCCGGACTATACCCACGAAACCCCGCGGTTTTCTCCTTCCCCCGACCCGTCGCGCGTGATCCACTCGTGTAGGGCCTCCGCCGTACCTCGCACGCCGGCGGCCCCTCACTGGGGCCTTGCGGAGCTACCGCGTTTTGTTGGCGCGTTCGCGTTCCCGCAGGGCCTCTCTTTTGGCCGCCATCACCTCGCGTGTAAACGAGGCGACGGCGGCCCAACTCTGTTCGCTGCCGACCATCGAACGTATTTCGGCCGGCAGCGATTTATCCCACTCCGGTTGCGCCAGTGAGCGTGGCGCGTTGGGCGTCACAGCCCGTGCACACGGCATGTGCTCGGCCTAGTCCACTTCGCTGGTCGCGCAATGGTGGCACCCGGGATCGAACTCAATTCCTACAACCTCGCACCCACCACCACCTACCTCCACCTCCACCCACTGGCGCAGGACGAGGCAGACGGCCTCGACCGTCCGCCACCCTCTCCTCCCATCGCTCAATCGTCGCGAGCTTCCCTCCTTCAGCGTATGACCTCTTCCGGAAGGGTTTCCTCGACTCTCCGTCACATCAAGGCTCTCCTCCTCCTCCTCCGGAAGGGTTTCCTCGCCTCTCCGTCACATCAAGGCTCTCCTCCTCCTCCT